AAGGATTCAAGTCTTTAGAAATAAAAGATTGCAAAAGTAGAGCAAAAACTTTCAAGCTTCTGCACGTGCATGTAGCTAGACTGAAACGCATCACTACACCGCGTTTTCTTAAACTGTCATTTCTTTTCCGCAAAAAGTTTTACGATTCAGCAAGTTTTTCTTTATTATTATTTGTTAATTCAGTTTCCAGAGCGTTCCTTGCATATCGATTCTTTGTCTAGAAAGACGATTTCTTTACTCAATCTGTTGTGAAATTTGTTGTTCAGATTTGTCGGTGACCACTAAGGCAAACGGGAAATTATATACACGCATATTCCTAATCAATTTTTGGTGAAGAATCTCCGATTATCTGCTATCAGATTTCTTACCTAATTAAGGCTAAATAAATTCAGATGATAGGACTTTATTAGAGAGAGAGAGAAGGGGGGGGGCATAAAAAGAGGTCTTTTATAATAAAAGTTTCATTGAAATAAAAATACCAATTTATTGGCCTGTTCACACGGAGAGTTTAATTCGCAGTAAATTAATGCGAAGTAATGCCCTGTTCACACGGAGAGTTTAATTCGCAGTAAATTAATGCGAAGTAAAATGATGCGAATTAAACTAATGCGAATTAAATTGCGTTCACACGACAGCTAATGCGAAGTAAACTAATGCGAATTATAATTTTATTTCTACAGCAAGGCTATTCAGTGAGGCTATTATGACGTCATTTACAAATCACGTCATATTGTGCCCAGCCCAAATATATACATTTGACATAATGTCAGTGTCTGTGCACATTTTAGTGTTAACGTAGTTTTCCTTTGTTTTCCACTCAAAAATAGCACAAGTACCTATATTTGACCATCGACATGTGGCCTGTGACTTAATTCTGCCCTCACGCATGCGTCAAAATTTAATTCGAATTAGCTTCGCTTAGCGTTCACACGGAGCTGATGCGAAGTAATTTAATGCGCAGTAAACTAATTCGAATTAAACTAATTCGCATTAAAGTCTCCGTGTGAACGCGGATCAAATTTAATTCGCAGTAACTTACGTTTAATTCGAATTAAACTCTCCGTGTGAACAGGGCATTAAATGATGCGAATTAAACTAATGCGAATTAAATTGCGTTCACACGACAGCTAATGCGAAGTAAACTAATGCGAATTATAATTTTATTTCTTCAAGGCTTTTCAGATATACATTTGACATAATGTCATAGTGTCTGTACACATTTTAGTGATTAACATAATTTTCCTTTGTTTTCAACTCAAAAATAGCACAAATAATATTTGATATTTGCCTAAAGACATGTACCATGTAGATTTTTTCTCAACCTCTTCTAACACCGTCCTATCCTGGGTGAAATACCAAAATATTCGGAGGTTGTAAAACAAATTTGTTAGTTCGCAAGGTGGATAAAATTTAGGGGAAATATTGTCGCTGTAAGATTTTTTTCTTCCGCTGGGTTAAAGTCATGTCTTTTTATCCCCTACTGTACATTTCCTTTCATGAATTATCTGTCTTGTCGTTTAATATGTAAGCATTTTCAACGAAATCAAAGCTGTAAACACTAATGTGGCTAGAGTTATTGCAATCATAAATGCCATGAAAAAGAATCGATCTAAAAGACGGGACAATCTAACCCACGACATTTTCTCTTCGTCTTCTTCACTTTTATTCAGAATGGTGGGTTTGTCCACTGAACTATCCGGAGAAGGAGCCACTTGTATTTTCTTTGCTGATGTGTCTATCGTTCCTCTACACAAGCAGCATTCCAGTTTATAAGCAAATTTTTGCAATCTGGGGGACATTGGCTCATCCTCAGGCGTGTGATGAACGTTGATAACGATAATGACAAACAATACCGACATTGTAGATAGGACCAGTGTAGTCGCCAGGTATATAGCTAAAAAGACAGTGAAGATTTTTTAAAATAACTCTTGATTCGAGGAGTTCACACAATTATAGCTCTTCATATAAAGCACATTTTTACGCTAAACCAATAGCTATTAAAATAACATTTTGTGACAATATAAGGTGTTGTTATTTAGAATGTTGTTATATAGAACCTTTACTAAATGGGAACATTTTTAAAAAAAGAAATATAAAAATGAATAGTAAAATCTGTTCTCCTTTTAATTCTCTTGCTTGACCAAGTGTAAAAACAAAGGATATTCAATGTTTGTAGTTGTATTTTGAATTCATTATTTCACTAGCGAGACAGGATTTTCGATACCGTATTTTCACGATTAAAAAGCATATTAAAGCATACCTAAACATCCCGTCTTCTGTAAAATAAATTACTAACCCAATACCACAAAAATTATAAGTTTCTATTCGTTTGACATTTTCTTAGATTTTTCTTTAAGATTTTTCTTTAAGCATAGTAGATTCGGTTGTTATTTTCAAACTTATTATTTACAGAGGGTGAATATGTCACACCTAGATGTTGACTTTTTATTTATTTATTTATTTTTTTTTGTATAAATCCATTCAGTCGCATATAAAGCCCTTATTTTAGCGTAAATATAGTTTTATAGCTTTGTCTTAAGAATTAAAATATGTAACATGTGTTTTCATTATTACACTATTTTCTGGTTGTTGTATAAAATGTGTGAAATGTCTTATAATTTCTACTAAACGATTCAAAGTATATTTTCTTTAAATTGTGGCATCTGAGTCTAATTGTATTTGAGTCAATTTTTACCTTTGATTTAATTTTTTTTTTCTTGCTGTCAGACAGGTGTAAACCAATTAATTGTTCAAACACCAGATGTCATAACCGAGTACCTTGTTTACTCAAGTTGAGTTGTTTTAGCGAAAAGTTGTTTGTAACTGTCGTTTAATTATCATTACTCGTTAATTGCCAGTTCACTAATTGTTCTCTCAAAATCCTGAGTTATAATTTTTGATTGGTCCTTTTTCAAGAACTAATTCTTTAAAATGGGCAAGAGTCGGGAAATGCGCATCACATCTATGATTGCGCTAATAAAGACGTAAAGTTTATATTTCCCACTCTTCGCCTCTATTTCTAGGAATGTACTGTATTTAAATTATTTACTTTCATTTTTTTAAGACGGATTTTATTAATTTTGGAATTAAGTTCAGAATTTGGTTTCTTATTTTTGGCTAAAAATGTACACTCAACTTAGAACTTTATTTCTAAATTTTCTTATTGGATTTAACAATTAATAAGGATTCTTGTAAAGACGTTTTCTGCATTTATATCATGTTTTATTATTTTGACAATTTTAAATATAGTTAGCTAAAGGGAAATAATATATGCATTTGCTTATCAACAAGTACAACTCTTCTATGTAGGGAGATAGAGTTTTTGTAATTCTTAAATTATGTTAATCGTTTCTAGAAGTGCATAATGACGAGCAAAAATTCTATTCTTAAAACTTTGTAAGAGTTCAAATTTGTTAGCAATAGGTAAATATTCATTTCTCAAAATTTAGTTGAATTAATTAATAATTGATTTTTAATATGTTTATTATATTAATGGTAAACAGTTAATCTGTACATTGTTATTTCAATTTACTTTATTGTGGAAATTATTATGTTCCGAGTGTCATCCCGGTCTCAATTAATGTTTTTTTAAATATATATTTTCTGTTACATTTATTTTAATGAGACCGGGTTATTTTTATAAGATCACATCTATGATTGCGCTAATAAAGACGTAAAGTTTATATTTCCCACTCTTCGCCTCTATTTCTAGTTCAAGGACAAACCTGATTGCAAGGATCCTCTAATTGACAAAAGATTGTCTCAATTTACGGATCGGGCACATTTGAAATAGAAACATACCCAAACCGTGTGAGACAAATATAACAGAATTTATTCAAGGGACATTCACAGTATCTATTGTTGAAATTGGAATACTACTGTATAAAGGGACAGTAAATTTCAAATCTTTAACTAAATATATTTCTATATTTTAATATTCATATTTTAAAATTGAATTAAATCAATAAAACCAATAAAATCAATAATACAAAGTAAAATTGAAAAAAAAGAAAGAAACTCATTTTTAACCGGGCTCATTGCTCGAAGAGCAATAGCCGGCTTTTGTTACGGTGTTCAACCGGAAATGCTGCTTTCTCACCGCCAAATCAAATACGAGTAAGAATATAGTACGTATGCTCAACCACCTTTGAAGCAATATTGAAGCAATACAAACACTAAATAAAACAAATTTAAGTTAACTAAGAAATTCTCTAAACCCAAAAAGAAACATTAATGGTAATATACCTTCTCCCCTCTTCTTCAATTAATTATTTGTTCAAAAAATGCGAAAGGTTTTCATTATTAATGTCGACATTGATTTTGATTTTGCAAGTATTATTTACGAATCATATATTATATTAAGCAGAAATGTTCAAGGTCTTTCTTTTGGTTTGTGTTCGCTTTAAGCGGAGGACTTATTAGTGGAAAAAACAATACTACATGTATATGTATTTCGGAGTATGAAAAATGTTTTTCGTTTTCATATACTTACAAAGAAAGCATATTGACACGGATGTACTTGGTATGTTGTCGGATATCATGGAGAGATACACAGCATATGCTAGGAGTACTGTTAAAGAATATCCCATCTTTTCACCGGAATCCACATGAAGCTTAAATGCCATCGGGATCAGAAAAGCCATCAGGACAACAGGAAACATAGTATTCAAGATGTGAAACATAGGTCTTCTGCGCATGTGTATTCGAAAAATTACTTTAGAGTGAGGTTCCCCTCCAAGAAAATGATCAGCAGGTTTCGTATTTTCAACAGAGAGTAGTTCCCATTCCCCATTTTCGGTGTAAAAATACAAAGAGACTGGGTTAGGACTGAACCTGAGATTGATATTTGCTGCGGTGTAGCCAGCTGTGGTGAGTCTGATTGTGCACGTTTGATGATCTAGTGGATAGTACGTTATCTCCGACTCACAGCTAACAATGTAGATGGCAGAGGTACTCCATCTTATTATTCCGTTTTTGTCCACTCTCATGGGAGTGTTTGGGTCAGTTATCACAGAAAGATCCACAATTCTGAAAATTATATAAATAAGTGTATACTATATTACCTTAAATTAGTAGTTAACAAAATGTTTGTTCATCACGGAGTCGTCCATAAACTAAAGATTTCACATTACACACACCTCAATCAGAGGTTAGTATATACTACTGAATAAAATCGGTTCGTTACAATTCTTTTTTTTTTTGTCGATGGTTTTAATTATTATGCCATGATGGTCTAATACTTCAAGTACACTGGTTCAAGTACTACAAGTCAATACTTGTATATTTTTTGGCATTAACCAATTGTCGTTTCGCATTTTTCAGGTCAAACTGAACTTGATAACTATATTTAGACAAGTTAAAGACAAATCCATATGAATGAGCTCTTTCTGTTAAACTAAATAACTGAATTTTACGTTTAACTGAGGGCAACCTACGAGTCTCAACGTAGACAGTGGGGCGTCCAGACGTGTTTCTTCCTTGTAGTTAATATTACTGTAGTCCTGAGTTCTGCCAGACATCCAGCTCAAGCGTTATCTGACCACAGCTGTAAAACATACACTCTTTGTAAAGTTTCTTAATCTACGATGGTTTTGAAACATACCACTTTAATACATGTTTGTCTTGGTAACTGATATTTTATACAACTGCCAATTTGAAGAATTCAGTGTCAGCAGTCTATCTACAGATGTGCCATCTTTTAAGTAATTGCACCAAAGACTAATATTAATATATATTATAGCATATATTACTAGTACTTTATATGTCTACAAGATAATTACAAATTAGATTTATGATAACAAATATACTACCATAGTTAAAAGTGCCGATACAGATAACGTCTGGTCTTTGATACTCTGCGAAAAAATATAAAACTTTATATTATGCAGACCCGTAGAAAGTAATTTCAGTTAAGGAGGTGGGGGTCACAATCAAACATCTTCATGATCAGTTTGGGTGGGCTCTATCAGCAAAAAAATCCTTACACGTAATTATTGACACATACATAAGTTGCATTGTTTTCTATGGTATACTATGTATCGAAGTAATTACTGGGGGGGGGGGGGGCATGCCCCCCCCCCCGGTTCCTACGGCCATGCATGTAATATCCATGCCTTTATATGTAAGTGAAAATTTTAATTTATCTTCACTTGGAATGCTTAGAAACTAAAGATAATGGCAAGATTCTGCTTCAGTATCATAAAAAAACTCACTGTTTTTTTTTCAAATGCTTTATCTGAACTGCTACTTTTAATCCCCCCAAAGCATGCACACTTAATTAAGGTCAGACGATACGTTCCTCAAATATCTGTTTTGTATACCTTCGAATTATGTGGAAGATATTCAAAATTTTAATTACCTTCTGATTTCTAAACTTGTTTCTAATTGTCTTTTAAAAAATGAAACACCAAAAAATGTGTTATTGGCTAATTAATTTTTTTCCAAAATGATTTTATAGGAAAAACATCCTCTGGTATCTTGCTTAAATGCCTGGTAAGGTACCTCAATTTTTTGCAAGTAAACATGTTAAAGTAGCAATACTTCAATCACAAAATCTTAGAAAAAAATATATATTATTGAGGAACGTATCGTCTGTCCTTAAACGTATATATATATATATATATATATATATATATATATATATATATATATATATATATATATATATATATATATATATATATATATATATATATATATATATACATATATATATATATGCCTGAATGAAATTATCCGCTTCACTATTGAACTTCTTAAACTGATATCGTTTTTTCCTCATATCTGACTTTCTGACTAAATCTTACTTGACCAACAGTAATTTATAGAACATGACCCACAACTTCAGAACATACGAGTTCATTGACGGTTAGGAGAGTTAAGACCACTTCTACGTTCACTTTCTGTGACGGTCTCTGTTGGACGGAGTAGTTGGAGAATAACTCATCTCTCAGTTGACTCTCAAGTGTTATGGAATACACCGGGGGTCCCTGGCCCACATTGACAGTCACACAGCATGCTATAAAAATATTTAATAATTAAAAAAACAAAGACAAAGAAGGAGATTGCAAGAATTTATCAATTGAATGACCTAATGCGATAAGTAAGTTGAAATTCTCTTTACAGGCTAAGGTTATAAGCAACGTACCTTACAACAGTTGTACAATCTCCCGTACCCATTGATCATTTTTCAAGATATTCTAAATTTAAAATCATAGTAACATAAGATGTTCTTAGACAAAAAAATCAGCATTCATCACACCAGGGGTTTTAAATAGATATCAAAATACAGGCCCGTAGGAAGCAATTTCACTTTGAGGGGGCAAAACCATACATTTTCAGTTGGGGGGCACTCCTTGACAAAAAAAGGGGCATCAGACGTTATTATTGAGGGGGCACAAGCATATAGTAGCTATATTTTCTATAGTATTCTATATTATTGGGGGGCACGGCCCCCTGTGCCCCCTCCCCGGTTCCTACGGCCATGAAATAGATGAAAATTCTTGTATTATTAAAAAAAACGGACCAGATATATAGTTTAAACTAGTATTTCCAGACAATTAATTTAATAGAAGAAGTGTACATCGCATCTTAAGGCAGTATAAAGAATAAGAAAATAGTATTCAAAACCACGTTGTGTATGTCCTTATGATTTTTGTGTAATTGCGCCCCCTCCTATCTCTGTGTGTGTGTGTGTGTGTGTGTGTGTGTGATTTTGTTTTTTTATTAGTATATTAAAGCGTACTCTTTTCTGTACGTTAAAATCGTTACGTTAAAATTGCGATTAAAATTTTGTACGAGTTAAAATTGCTATCAAAAATTTTGTATAAGCAAATGTATTCACTTTTTTATGGTCTGTCACTCTCTAATTCCGTTTTTTAATCCATTGGGTTCATAGGGTTCGATCAAGAAATACTGGAATGAATACGATGCTCTAGAGTTTAGAATTTGCTCTTAATAAATGCACAATATATAGAAATTTAAAAAAAAACATGTTAAGAAGAGTCATATAGGCAATTCATTTTTTTTTAATTGAAAATTATTTATGAAAATAAAACACATTATTTGTTAATATCTTTAAAAACCTTTGGGTAAAATCTTTAATAAACAAGTCACAAAGGGAAGATATGACACTCAATCATATTTTAAAAAGAAATTGAAATGAAACTGTGAAACCTAAGCAAAATTGCTAATTTTCAAATTTGAACCGATTCAAATTTAATCATTCGAAATTAATGCAAAATTCATTTTAACTAATTTACTGCTCATCTTATGCCGTTCCTGCGAAATCCATTTGATTGATAAGTTCAATTATTTTGCTAACCATATTACACCACAGGAACCTAGTATTCTTGTGAAAATGTTTCCATTTTATGTAATTCTGATTGGGATCGGATTAAGTGTGATCGGGATTAGTCCACATTTGAAAATTGGCAATTTTTCGTAAATTTCGCAATATCATTTCAATTTCTATATAGAATACGATTGCCTCATATTTCTTTTCCATAGGTAACTTGTTTCTTGGAGATTTTATCTTAATTTTATATTTTTAGATTTAAAAAAATAATAACAAATTATGATTTTTATATTCATAAGTTATTTTTTTATATAAAAAATTCAAAAGTTAAATGCCTCTTCTGGATATGTTTTATATAATATTTAAATTGTGCACTTGTAAACAGCAAATTTTTAACTTTAAAGCATCGACTGTGAAGATAGCGAACTGTAATCAAGCTCAAAAGTCCATTGAAACGATACAGTCTTGGAGCAGAGCAAACACGGACCTCTAAAATCATCAAAGGTGGGAACAGGTGCCATTGAGAAGTAAGCATTCCCTGTCGACCGGTCACATCCGCCATGTGCTCCTCGTCATGATCGTGAAAACAAAAACCGTAGACAATTCAGTGTAAAAATAATGGCATAACAATTTGTATGAAAAACTCCAGTCCACATTCGACTTAATGATAGATTGTATTTGCTGACAAGGTCATTATATCGACCATGCAAAATGATGACTTTAAACGAAACTGTTGATGTTCTTGTTTCATCAACTAATTTGTCAATAGCTAACCTCATTTTAGAAATCGTTTATACGTAGAACTTGTTCTTGCGCAACGAATCAACTGGGAGACATAAACCCCATATGCAAGTTAAAGTGGTATATTCCTTGATAAATGAGGAAGTTGATGATAGAAAAATTGAAGTCATCACCTTTATCATAAAGTTTTGTTATAAGGTTACCATTAATGCTTTTTCTGGTAAAATATCCAAGTAGGAAACAGTTGTGTCAGACTCTGTGGTTTCTTTTATTTCGAGTTCAATTGGATGTATCGAATCAAGTAGGAACGGAATGAATATTATTTGATAAAACGTCGTCGATATATCTAAATGTTGAATTAAAGGCCACAACAAGAGACTTTTTTCTTTTTATGTAGAAGTTTTTGAATAAATTCTGCTTCACATAGATACAATGTACAAAAAATGGTCTGCATCTTATTTGCAAATATAACAATTTTACATTTAATTTCTTCGAAAAATTACAAATAAATAAACGAATGAATGAATAAATAAATAAATAAATAGTGTGCAAATATATTCATTGTCGACGTATAAACGGGTATTTACCATACTTACTATGTAGATATCAAGTGCTTTAAAAAATGTTAATAGTTAAAAAAAAAGAAAGGATGTCCTGAAAACATTTCTAAAAAATTCAAGTTTATAATTATAATGTGGAGAGAAAGCAAGAAAGCGACATAAACAGATACAAATTAAGAATATGTTGAGCCTTTTCGACGTATTATCTTTGGGTTTAATTTTGTTGTTGTTGGTTTTTTTGTTTGTTTGTTTGTTGGTTTTTTTTTTTGTTTATTTGGTTTTGGTTTCTTGTTGCTGTTTTCAGCTCACCTGAGCTGAAAGCTCAGGTGAGCTTTTCTGATCACCCGTTGTCCGTCAGTAAACTTTTCACATTTTTGACTTCTTCTCAAGAACCACTGGGTCAATTTTAACCAAACTTGGTACAAAGCATCCTTGGGTAAAAGGAAGTTTAAATTATAAAAATGAAGGACCAAGTCCCTGTCAAAGGGGAGATAATCAAGATAATACAAAAATTGGGTGGGGTCATTAAAAAATCTTCTTCTCAAGAACCACTGGGCCAGAAAGGCTGAAACTTATGTGGAAGCATCCTTGGGTAGTGTAGATTCTAAATTGTTCAAATCAGGACCCCCAGGGGTTGGGCGGGACCACAATAGGGAATCCAAGTTTTACATTGAAATATGTAGTAAAAATCTTTAAAAATCTTCTTCTCAAGAACCACTGGGCTAGATAGGCTGAAACGTCTGTGGAAGCATCCTTGGGTAGTGCAGATTTTAAATTATTCAAATCATGACCCCCGGGGATAGGGCTGGGCCACAATAGGGAATCCAAGTTTTACATTGAAATATATAGTAAAAATCTTTAAAAATCCTCTTTTCAAGAACCACTGGGCCAGAGAAGCTGGAATTTATGTGGAAGCATTCTGGGGTAATGTAGATTCTAAATTGTTCAAATCATGACCCCCGGGGATAGGGCGGGGCCACAATAGGGAATCCAAGTTTAACATTGAAATATATAGTAAAATCTTTAAAAATCTTCTCAAGAACCACTGGGCCAGAAAGTCTGAAACTTATGTGGAAGCATCCTGGGGTAGTATAGATTCTAATTGTTCAAATCATAACCTCTGGGGGTAGGGCGGGGCCACAATAAGTACTACGGGGTGTGGGGGTGTGAGAGAAATCAGGTGAAAAACAGCCAGGCCAAAGTTACTCAGGTGAATACTGTGTCCCATGGGTCTCTTGTTATTATTGTTGTTGTTGTTTTGTGTGTGTGAGGGTGTGTGTGTTTGTTTATTGTTGTTTTGCAATGTTTTTTCTTTCTTTCGTCGTAATTGAAAAACAAATTGCTTGTAAAATGCTTTTTGTTTTCGTGTAACCCTCTTACGCTTGATGTTTATTAGGGTACTAGATATGTTGCGAATATTGAATTTATTTGATGTAGGTCAATGCAAAATTGATAACATGATAAACTATGTAACTTACGCACAAAACAAAAAAGTCTTCAATTAAAAAAAAAATGCATCTAAGATGGACGTTAAAAAGAGGTCTAATGAATTAAATTAAGTTTCAGAGCAAATTAAGATTTTTGATACGTCAAATATTTAGTGTAAAAAAAAATTTGAATCTTAAGTAACTTTACTTAAGAAAACTTTACAGGGCCTGGATATCGAATATCTGAAACATAATCCTCCTTCGTGTTCATGTTCTTCTTCACCTTATAACTATAGTCCTGCTGGTCACGTTATTACTGGTGACGTAAATATAGTTAATAATGAGGACCTTAGATCACTAATTTTAAAAGGTCCTAAATATAGGGAACCCCGATCCTTTAACTGGCGTCGTAATTTCATACATATTATGGATTCTGTAGAGGATTACGCCAGGCGTTGGGTCAGACATGAAAAAGACCTTGACACTTTGTCAGAATGGATTAAATGTATCAGATATATGTTAAAATCTCGCATTAAACGATTGAGGGGCAGTATTCAATAATTCAGAAGTGAAAAAAGAATTACATGTAGATAGATTTCACGATCAGTACGTACTGGTCCCTGCTGACAAAGCAGGTAACAACATTGTCTTTGTTTGTAAGGCTCATTATATAAATTGTATTTTAGAGGAACTGGGATTTAATTCTACATGTGGTAATCCAACTTACACCCATAGCTCCCTTTCTAAGGAGGAAATTCTTCAAAATCATATGTCAGTTTTGAATATTTTTACTATTCCCAACAACCAAAATGAATTTTACCAAAATTAACAACATAAAAACTTAAGACTTTTCAACTTTATATACAACTATTCCCCTCGATAAATTAAAGTCCAGACTTTCTGACATCGTTGACAGCTGCTTTTTCAATAAAAATGGAACTCGTAAATTTACTTACCTTGTCATTAGTCATTTGCAAAATTACTAAAGTCAAAAAACAATCTGATTGTACACACAAGTACTCTGAAGTTGACATTAAAAAGATGCTCGAGTTTCTGATTGACAATATCTATGTGGTTTTTGGAGACCAGGTCTTCCAACAATCTACTGGAATTCCCATGGGTATCAATTGCGCCCCGTTATCAGCAGACCTATTTTTGTATTCATATGAAGCAGAATTTGTTCAAAATCTTTTACGAGAAAAGAAGAAAACACTTGCTGTGGCCTTCAACTCTACATTTAGATATATCGATGACGTATTGTCAATTAACAATGGTTATTTCCATTCTTATGTCGACACGATATATCCCGCTGAGCTTGAGATAAAAGATACCACAGAGTCTAACACATCTGTTTCATATTTGGATATTCTATTAGAGAAAGACGTTAATGACAATCTAACAACAAAGCTTTATGATAAACGAGATGATTTTAACTTTTCAATCGTCAACTTTCCTTACCTATGCAGCAATATATCCTTATCACCTGCATACGGAGTTTATATCTCTCAGTTGATTAGACACGCCAGAGCATGCTCTACGTATGAACAATTTCTAAAACGAGGTAAGTTATTGACAAACTTGTTGATTGAACAAGAATATCAGCAGTCTCATTAAAAATCATCATTTCGTAAGTTCTATGGTCGATAAATGACCTATCAGCAAGTACAATCTATCATTAAGTCAAATGCTGACTGACTTTTTTCATACTAATTGTTAGGCCATTATTTACACACTGAATTGTCGACGGATTTCTCCGTTATTTCCCGATCATGACAAGGAGCACACGGCGGGTGTGACCGGTCGGCAGGGGATGCTCACTCCTCCATGGCACCTGATCACACCTCTGATGTTTTAGAGGTCCATGTTTGCTCTGCTCCAAAATTTGTATTGTTTAATGGACTTTTGAGCTCGAATACTGTTCGTTATCTCCACATATTTCATGTAAATGACAGTTATGAAAGAAGTGGTTTGTAATGGTCAAAAACCATTGGGAAGATTTTTAATTCACGATGCAGTTTTGTTTTGGAAAAAGATCGAGATTAGGCAGTTCTCTCTTTCTCTCTTCCGAAAGAATATTCTATTAAACTCCCTTTTTTCTACAAACACATGTACTTACCGCATATAATATATACAATTGCACAGTACGGATACCGCCGTTCCATGGTTCATCTGTTTCTCGTTGACTCAGTATGGATATTTTTCATGATATCTTTTTGATTATCCAGAGAGGTATATGTACTAAAGACTATGGTTGTCTAACTCAGCTCTTGTATAATCTTTGTTTAGAATCAAAACTAACTGATCATATTAAGGACTCTTTGCATGATTACTGAGATTTATAATACTAAGTATGATCCGATAGGATTAGCTTTAAAGTACTCATTCAATTTTTGATCTACAAATAACTGAAATTTGTTTTGTGTCTGTTACCTAACTCGGGTCATTTAAACATAGGCGTCGGTCGTTCTCTCCAGATAATCGGTTATTTACAATTATTACATGGGTTTAGTGCGAGTATATCTTCATTGCTTTAAAAGTAATTGATTCAAAGGACCTGTGTTACTTTTTTTCAGGAATGGAGAGAATTTCTCAGATATCGTATAGCTGTTTTTTTTCTTTTTAGCGGGATAGTATTTTGGCTTATTTTGGCGATTTATAAAGATTCACCAAAATTAAAGTCGCTAATATTAAGTATTTTCTTTGCAACTTTTTTGAGATGTGTAATTGGGTCTGCATATTAAGCTCTCTCCAGAATGGGAGATGATCGTTGATTTTGGCCTAGGCGGTTTGCGACGATGGATTTTTGCAACTCTACGTTCCCAGGAAAATTTGGAGCGCATCAAGTAACAGTGACGTCACCAATGGATTCTAACTTATAATATTATGTGTATATTCTTTTTGATGTCATTGTCATAATTACCTTCACATACTAGTTTTCTCAATCTTTGTAATTTATTCATAAATTTTGTCCTATTTTTCTGTTGTAGTTGATGCATTACAGGATAGCAATAATTTTTTTCCTTTTCAACAAATCCAATCGAATAAAATCTGAGGCTATATATATTGTGTTGCTTCTCATGTCATTTTCTCGACTTTTTTTCTCTTCTCGTCTAAAGCCCTGTTCACATGTGCCTATTTACACACAGTGGGCAAATTTTACGTATATGCAAATTAATTTTGCACCTGGTTGTATTCTAGCGCATGTAAACGGGGGTAAGCAAGATTTACACGTGAGTATTTTTACTCCTAGTGCAAAATTACATCTAGTCAGACTATGTGCAAATTAACTTTTACATATGAGGAAATGTATTCCTGATGTACTTTTAGTCATGTGAACGCGTAACAAAATTTACACAAAAATAGAAATATTGAAATTGTCTAGAAAATATAGCATCGTCGATTTCATTAAAAATTGCTTTTTTATTTAAGAAAGAACAGTGACATGCTGTTGTATTTTTAGGTCCAATCATTATTTTAATTGCATTTATCACCATATTGTGATAAATGCTTTTAATACCAGTGCAAGAGCGATAACTCGTGCGTTCTTGGTAGTGGTTAAACATTATTGAGATCATGAGTTTTAAATAGAGGACGCAATATAATCAAGCACCTTATGACCCCGATTTTCATAGTCTACCGAAAAAGCTAGAAGGGCAGACATGTTGCAAAATTTCATCTCTAGTCTGCACACTTTGGAAGGAAAATGTTTTGACCCACCGTTCAGCAAAATTATTTCCATTTTTGTGCATTACTCTGTTCCAAGGATACGGTTTATAGACACTGTAAGTAATTTATGCGAACAATAACATGATGCCCCTAATTATAAAGGCTTGAATTTATGATCGTTGCACTTTGTGGTATCTGTGACTGTTCATCACGCGCTGATGCTGTGGATAGAATGACATTGAAAGTCCTTATTCTGGGGCATTCATTTATACGCAGATTTGAGAACTTTGTTTGTATCAACTAGTTCTGGCCATCGGGTGACGCCGAATTTAAATCTTAATTCAGAGGAGCTACAGATTTTCTATTTACATGATTTAGGTTATGGGGGAGCGTCACTGGCTCAAATTCGTGCGCAAGGCACTCGTTACGTAAGATACTTGCATCCAGATGTTGTTTTGTTACAAGCTGTATCAAAAGATTTGTGTCGGAGAAACACATCAGTGGAAGACATTTTTCATGAACTTGCGGACTTTGTAATTTAACTCCGTGATGCGGAAGATGTGAAAAAAGTAGTGGTGCTTCAGACATTGCATAGAATTCCCCCGACAAGACGTATCAGGTTTCATGTGGACACAGAGTGCAAGAGAGTTGTTGAATTAGATAGACGCATGTCCTATTACTTGCAGAATGTAGAGGGAGCAGCATTCTTTCGCCTATCTGGTTTATCATAGGATGGTATTTCTGGTGGGTGGGGTCCATTTGAATAATCAGGGAAATAAGGAATATTATAATAATTTGAGAGCTGTTATTGTTTCCTTGATAAAGTCTATCAATAATGGTGGGTACATGTTTGTGCAGCATTTATATTTAGTCTAACGATACATTGTTCAATTTTCATCTGTTTATTTTCAAAATCCACATATGCAGTGGTGATTTAATGCAATCTAATGTAAAGATGCATATAGCCATATAAATATTATATCATTTAATTTATACATTTATGACACCCCTGTAAAGTTGGGGTTGTTTAATTGGATCCTGTGTATTATTTATTAACAGCTTATTTAAGACTAACCATAAATTTTTAGTTTTAGCAGGATTTTACACCCTTATATGGTCGGGGTGTAGTTTTAGCAGGATCTTGCACTCCTATATGGTCGGGTTTGAATTATAGCAGGTTTTGCACTCTTCTATGGTCGGGGTTTACTCAAGCAATATCTTGACCCCTATATGGTCGGGGTTGAATTTTAGCAGGACCCTGCACCCCTATATGGTCGGGGTTTACTTAAGCAATATCCTGCACTCCTATATGGTCGGGGTTTAATTCTAGCAGGATTTTGCATATGTATGGTTGAAGTTTACTTAAACAGTATCCTGCACCCCTATATGGTCGGGGTTTAATTTTAGCAGGATTTTTCACCCCTTAGGCTATATGATCGGGGCTGAAGTCAAACAAGATGTTGCACCCCTATATGGTCGGGGTTGAATTCAGACAAGATGTTGTACCCCTATATGGTCGGGGTTTTATTTCAAAGGATTTATTCCCCTAAATATTGGGTTTGTTTAACTGAATATATTGCATAAAATGAATAAGATACATATATTCCAATAGTGTTGAGATTTCTAGAGGTTTCTTATCTATAGAATTGTCAATGATATAGATATTTTTGGAATTCTACATATGTAATCACCTCGCATTTATAGAGCAGAATTTAAAATATGAACAGAAATGATATAATTTTAGACACAGTTATAATACACTCCACTGTCATTTATTCTTATCCGGTGAAGTATCATAATTGCAAATAAATGTAGCTGTAAGGTTAGCTAGAATTATATTACCAATATGGATTGGGCATTAAATGATTTAGATTTTAGAAATATCCAATGATATTAAACTTCATGGAGTGTATATTTAATTAAGAAATTCTATTGGTGCCTTCATTGGTCTTTAAGAGCTCTGAAATATTTTTATTGATAATGTTATTACATAGTGTATATTACATAGATGAATTTTTATTTTTACAGGAAAATTGGGAGACACTATTTGTAAACATATGCTAGATATTTTGCACTAGGTTTGTGTTGAACGTGGAATATCTAATGACAAGACAACTCTCATCAGGTTTGACTCTAAGGAATAGAATGGAGACAGTTATATCTATGCTTATGTTTTACCTCAAGATACATTGACTGAGCTATGTAACAATCCCAGGATAGGTGTCTAGAATGCTAAACACAAATTAAGTAAAAATAACTAAAAAATAAAGTAGATGAAGTTATGTAGCTGATTTTTGTAATCGAATATCCGCCTCCCAGCCAAGAGGGAAAACTCTTTAAAAAAAAAAAAAAAAAAAAAAAAAAAAAAAAAAAAAAATTAAAAAAAAAAAAAAAAAAAAAAAAAAAAGATCATTTAATCAAAAAGACTCAAATTAAGCTTGAAATTCAATCTTTTCGTGCAACAATTTTTATTCACGCAACTCAAGTTCTTCGTAGTCTAGAAACTGGGAAAAGTTGACATTTGTGTCCCATAAAAGTATTCAAAAATCTTTAGATAAATCGAATTCCTTCAAGCTTGCTTTGTTAACCATGATATGAAATTTGAAGTGATATTTGATGTCTTCCAACGATAGCACATGCTTTTTACACTACAGGTATGTGTTATATAATGATTGGAAAAAAAATATAAGAAAAATGCCATTATGATATGAGTATTAATAACATGCAATTTTTTCCAAATTCCGGGATACCTATAAATGTTTATTCAGGTACCTTTGGCTAACAACAGGATATTATTACATACTGACAAGCAATCGGTCGTGCAAATAGTCAATTCTGCTAAAGTCAGACTATTGGTTAGAAACTTGTAATTAATATCACTTATTTCGCTATTATATTTAAGCAGAGTTCATTACTTAGTTATTATATCAAATTAAATTGCAGATTCTATTTTACATTGACAGTGGCTTCATTTTTGGGCTTTGGGTCCTCGTGCATCTCAGGTCAATATTGGAAACGATAAGTTTCAATAATTGATTCACACCTTTTCAACAATGTCACATTGGCATCATTAAGCTAGATTGATGAACAAATCATTAACAATAGAGTCTGAACTTGGTACACCTAGCCATGGCCAATTTTTGGTACATTTCAATGGTAATCCCCTAACGACTAACGTGTTATTAGTTATCAAACCCTAATTGCAATACTATTCATTTCTGTAACATAAACAAATACTGTTTTAGATCACACTCTTTTCAGCAGCAGTATTATAGGGCATTCCTGAACAAATTATTAAACAACTGGGCTTTTGGAATCCATAACTATACATGCCTCAAACATTGGTGTGAGATTTGTATAATTAAAATATTATAGCTCAATTTCAATTTTGGCTTAAACGTATTATACATCTATCCATATAAAAATTTTAGGTTTTGTAGATTGTGTGTAGTCTGGGATATGGCATTCATAGGATACTGAGCTACCCAAAGTGACATCATTGGTCCTTGAGGAAAAAGCCCTCGATTTGATTTTTTAAAAAATGGGTTTGGAGTCAGGGAAATTAGATTGAAGGAATTTGACTCTTTGATTTAGAATAAATTAAAATGCACTTGGGTGGTACATTAAGGTTTCAAGGACCGGGGCACCTCGCCTGGATCATTATTGTTTCATAGTATGGAATGTTCCTGCTTATGCTGCAAGTTATTAGTCCGAAGTATGTCAATTATTTGGTCCGATTATGGATATAAGTTTAATCCAAGATGAGTCTTGATTTATTAAATGGAACAACTAACAAGTGTCTATTATACATGAATTTTTATAAAATTTGAAATTTAAAGGTCAGGTGGGTGAAATGGAATGAATTAAAAATTAACATGTATGCACCAAACACGTTAGTGGCGGGTGAACTTGTATAGACAAGTTCATTTGGCGGAATTCGGGGATTACCACAAATGAGGAATTCTCTCATGTCTGGCTCAAAACTCTGGGTAATCTATCCTCAGTACTGGGGAGGATTAATTTGGGGTTACCTCAGCGGTACCTGAGGGACCAGCTTGATCTTTGTGGGTACCAAAGGCAAGTTTTGGGGCCTACCCCTGGGGGTATTATCCCCATGTTGTTGTTGTATTCCAGGGGAGGCAGGTATAGAGTTAGGGCCCGAGTCAGAACTTGAATTCATTCATTTGATGTGGCACTCACTCTTGTTGGTACCAAGAGGTCTGTTCCCACCACAGTCACCTGTGGGGGCGCTATCGCGCCAAGGATCTAGGGAGGTCATCCCGGTAGGAAGGTAGTGATTCCCTGGGTTCCGCCGGGGTATTTACATCTATGTATAAATAGATTGTGACAAATAGTCGCCACAAAATGTAATCATTGTTTCACAATAAATGTGTAAAATTAATATTGTTACTATTCATTGCATCTGGGATTAATTGCATTTATCACCATATTGTGATAAATGCTTTTAATACCAGTGCAAGAGCGATAACTCGTGCGTTCTTGGTAGTGGTTAAACATTATTGAGATCATGAGTTTTAAATAGAGGACGCAATATAATCAAGCACCTTATGACCCCGATTTTCATAGTCTACCGAAAAAGCTAGAAGGGCAGACATGTTGCAAAATTTCACCCACCCACCCTTCCCTAAAATATGTGTACAGATTTTTGCTGCTTTCTCTTCTGTAATTTCAGTGACAGAAGCCTATTCTTACATGGAAAGAGATGTGTATGTGAAACAACCTAGCGGTTGTATCATTAGCAAAGAAAGGATGTGGTCATTATGTATAGGGTGGGACCATTTGGTGTCAATTGGACATTTTCTGTTGAAATCAATGTAAATGATTCAATCCTGAGTTTTATTGGACATTTCTATGGTGTGATACATAATCAGTACTTCAGTGAAATTGGTGATCATTGATGATTATGTGTTTACGTACAATGTTACTGTACAGTGTTACTTTTAATAAGTATTGTAAGCAAGTATAGCTTATAAATATATATTGAGAATTTTCTTGCTTTGGGATTATGGTAAAGTTTCTTAAGTCACAATCTGGGATGGGGGCGGCGGAATTCGGGGATTACCACAAATGAGGAATTCTCTCATGTCTGGCTCAAAACTCTGGGTAATCTATCCTCAGTACTGGGGAGGATTAATTTGGGGTTACCTCAGCGGTACCTGAGGGACCAGCTTGATCTTTGTGGGTACCAAAGGCAAGTTTTGGGGCCTACCCCTGGGGGTATTATCCCCATGTTGTTGTTGTATTCCAGGGGAGGCAGGTATAGAGTTAGGGCCCGAGTCAGAACTTGAATTCATTCATTTGATGTGGCACTCACTCTTGTTGGTACCAAGAGGTCTGTTCCCACCACAGTCACCTGTGGGGGCGCTATCGCGCCAAGGATCTAGGGAGGTCATCCCGGTAGGAAGGTAGTGATTCCCTGGGTTCCGCCGGGGTATTTACATCTATGTATAAATAGATTGTGACAAATAGTCGCCACAAAATGTAATCATTGTTTCACAATAAATGTGTAAAATTAATATTGTTACTATTCATTGCATCTGGGATTAAATGGCATTTAAACAAGAAGTGGCAATGTTCTTAGTGCATGGGAGAAACTTTTGAAGAGCGACTATCTAAAAAGCTCAAACAAGTATTTACAAAATACATGTACTTTGAAATAGCAAACTTCCTGCTGATTTACATACAGTTTGAGAGTGCATGTGAACGCATCGCAAAAATTACATTTAGTCTACTGTATTTCAAAGTATATAATTTCTTTATCATTTTTTTTACTTCAATGAACAGCGTATATAAATGTTCAGCAAAATTGAATATACTTAAAATTCATTTAGTTTGCTGCTTTATTCTGTTAAAACATTTATTTATCTTTTGCAAAGAAAATGATGGGAAATAGACATGTCATTTGCTGTTAAATTGTACGTGACGCATTTTGTAGAACGATTAAATGTTAATGTTGCTACTCTTAGTTCTAGTAATTACGTGGACAAATTTCTTCCGAAAGTTATCAGTCGCTGAATTTTTTTAAAAATTAAACTTTTACAGTTCCATGCACCATGATATTGAGCTTGGTCCAATGATCTTATTCATTATAGCACACATTCTAGGATCGCTACAATCGGACCAAAAATACCAATATACATGTAAATAATAAATACAAAAATGAAGATCACAAACAATAATCTACCTAAAAAAACTACACAGATTTATTTATCAGGGCATAAAACACGGATCCCTGGGAATTCCAGATGTGGATCAGGTGCCTTGGAGGAGTAAACATCCCCTGTCGACGGGACACACCCGCTGTGTGTCCTACGCATTCATCAGCTAGACGGAATAATATGTAGACAAGTTTAGTATAAAAACAATGGCCTAACAATTGGTATGAAATATGTGGGTCAAAACGACCAGATGATAGACTGTATTGGCAAACAATGTCATTATACCGACTATAGAATTTACAAAATTCTGACTTTAAACGAAGTTGTTGAAATTCCTGTAATATCAACTTATTTGTCATAGCCTGCCTCTGCCTCGGTTTAAAATTAATCGCACTCAGAGCATGCTCTTGAGCATCGAAAAAACGCCATATGCAGAAAATATTAGTGGAATATTACTGCATAAATAATTAAAGGAAAGAACTGCGAACGATAGTATTGTTCTCCCGCCTACCTCCAAGTCAATTGTCAAAAGTTAAGATATTCGAATGATTTTTAATATTCATATTGATATTATATGGATTTTCATAAAACATTACTTCTTTGAGAAAACAACGAGAGATAACTCTAAAATTTTGGTAAAACTCGTGTTTTTCACTATAGAAATCAACGGAAAACGGAAAATATTTTAAAAAAACATCTTCCCCCCCCCCCCCCGTGAAACAAAAATTCCTTTTTGCGGGTAATATGGACTGTCATTTCACAAATTCATACCAAAGCTTTTTGTGTTTCACGGGGGGGGGGGGGGGGGGGACATATGTTTATATATTAAAAACGACAAAAATGCTTATTTTTTCAGCAATTTCCAAGTGTTTTACAACTGAAACATTATATTTTACTAATATATATGCTTAATTTTATATGCATAAAACATAAGAAAAGATTTAAGAAACATTTATTCATATCCAAGACTATTTCAGAATGTGGTGATGCTTTATAGCCCGATTTCAGTGGAAAATATCGTCTACCCCCCTTATTTCAAGAGCTGGAATTAGGGATATTTTACTATTTAGCACTGGAATTAAAATAATTAATCAATTACCATTGAACTGTTCTTTGTATTAAACAAAGATTTTATGGCCAAATTGTCATCAATATTGAATTAAATGGTTGTAAAATGTAGGCGGGAATCGGGAGTTACCGTGCGTAGTTCTTTGACGATGGAAAAGCTGAAGTCGTCACCTTTGTCAATTGGTGTGTCAGTAAACCATCCAATTATGAAACAAATGTGGCAGAATTTGTGAGGTCTTTTATTTGGCGTTCACTGAGATCAGGGACCTATATATTAGTATATAGGTCCCTGCTGAGATATATCGAGTCGACATATGAAAGGAATTAAGGAAAGGCCATAGTTTTTCGCTTCCGGTTTTAAATTTTATACACCGACTCTAGACTTCCGGTTATGACTCGGCTTTGGCGCAAAACATTCAGTCTGGTCATTTATCATAAATTTCGTGTGATTATATAAAAATACAAGAATGCCCCGGTCTAAAAAAGGAACGTTCGTGAAAGCTTCGTTCCTCCGGAGACTTGAGGGTCTAAGGAGAGCAAGAGAAGCCCGTGCGTTAAAAGGTAAACAGGGTAAGTGTCTGTATTAATAATTATTGTGTAAGCGTTCTGCTATGGACTGTTGGAATATGTAGCAAAAGATTCAATCATTTATTGTGTAAATATTAGATGTTGAAAATGATGGCCTATGCTTGGAGAATGATTCTTCCCCTGTTCTACGAAGTGTTGAGTGTCAAAGTGCAGAAAGTTCATGGCGTGTTGGAAGACGAATTGTTGAACTTGGCACTCTTGTAGATAATCTGAAAAGAGGTTGCGCCATGTGTGGGAATGCACTTCAGCTTGTTAACACTATAGGTGAAAGGAAATTTGGACTAGGGCAGGTATTTATTATTTTTTATAATATTGTCAATGACTTTGTATTTCAAAGATTTGTTTTTAAAGATGTTGTATACCCTTTACATTAATTTTTGACCAAATGCAGGTTCTTCAGATAAAATGCACACATTCCACCTGTGCCCATGTCAATGACATACCCACGGGCAGTAAGCATAGGGTTAAAGCAGATATGAAGCAATATGCTTGGGATGTCAACACAAAACTTGCTGCAGGTATAAATCAAAAATTTTATTTTGTAAATAAGCAGATAAAAATAAATTATTTCCAGTTATACAAAAGTTTACATCTGAAAGAACTATTTTGTTTTCATTTTATTTCTGTGATATCTTAGGTATGCTAAATGGTGGTTATGGAATAACTCATGTAAATGCATTACTGGCTGCACTGAATATCCCAGGGATCACAAACAGGAGTCTAAAAAGCAGAGAAAGAGAGGTTGGGGAACACCTAGAGGAAATGGCAGGGCAGAGTTGTAATAAAGTTCTTCAAGAAGAAATGAAACTGTAATTTTATATACCAAATATTGATATTTAAATTTTGCTTTGTATTTACATGTTATTTGTTAATATTTGCACATTTGTGTTAATTACTTTGTAGGAGTGATGGAGACATCACTGTGTCTTTTGATGGTGCCTGGCAGAAGAGAGGTACTGGTAGAGGATACAATAGTCTTACTGGTATGCCCTGGTGATAATGTTACATGTTTTGATTCTCCCTCCTCAAGAAGGATTGAGATTTCTTATAGAGTAACATATTTTAATACACATACATGTAGTTATGTACTAGCAGTATTTATCTTGTTACAGGTCATGCATCTCTAGTAGGAGAAAAAACTAAAAAGATAGTAAGTTTCTCTTCGAAGAGTAAAAAATGCAGAATCTGCTCAGCTGCATCAGGTAAAGGAGTTCCACCCAGAAAACACAACTGCCGAAGGAATTGGCATGGATCGGCAAAGGCAATGGAGCCAGCCATGGCCTGTGAAATGCTGAGTGCAATCCAAGATGAAGGGTGCAAGGTAACTTTTCATTGAATGTTTGATTCTTATTAGAGCAATGCCAAATATGTCTGTAAAGTTGACTACATTATATATTAAAACTTTGCTGTTTTAATTAAAGTACATATTTCCAATGTATTTTACAGATAGGAACTTTAGTCATGGACAATGACTCAACAACTATTGCCCATGTAAAAGCCACTGTGGACCCAACCATCAACAAAAGAGCTGACAAAAACCACACAAAAAAAGGTTTCACAGGAGCTTTGATTGAGCTTGCCAATACTCACAAAGTTTTGAAAAATCAAAAACTTAGAGGTCACATTGAAAGGTTTGTGTTTTTGAAGTGTAATATTTCAGTAAAATATCCCTTGATCAACTGTGGTCCAACAGAAACCTTGTTAATTGTAAGTGCGATAGCTAATTATAAAATAAGTATCTTTTCCTTCTTTGTTTTAGATGTTTTACATATTGTGTACAGCAAAACAGGGGCAAGGCTAAAGAGCTTGAAATTGAACTTGGCAAAATTGTTCCACATTTATATGGTAAGTGTATCAATAAAAAAGTCATTACAAAATTAGGAATGAAGAGTGAAAATATTTTAACTACTTTTTTTTTTGAAGGTGAACACGAATACTGTGGAACTTGGTGCCAGAGTAAAAAGACTGACTATAAACCACGAAATTTGCCGTATGGAAAGCCTCTCTCCTGCACCTTAGTTCGAGAAGCTTTAGAAGGTCTATTCAAAAAGTATTGCTGTAAGGCAGAAGAGCTAGCCATGATGGGGTCCACCCAAGTCAATGAGAATTTCAACCATATGGTCTCCACTAAAGCCCCCAAAAGATTGTAAGTACTTTGGTTTATTTCTCTTTGTTTAAAACAAAAATTCTAGGTATAATCTTTTAAATTGAGTCTGAAATATGAGATTCAAATTGCAAAAAAATGTGTTGTTAGGTTTTATGGAGGTTCAGAAAGTCTACATGCTAGACTCTCAGCCACTGTATGTCAAAAGAATATGGGTTATGGTTACATATCAGAGGTAGAAAAATGTGTTAAAAGTTTCAAGTTGATCATTTTTAAATTTGTTTTTCTCTACATTTATTGTTTGTTATGTTTTGTTTTCTTTCTTTTTTATGGCAAACCTAAGAAAGTTATGTTCACATGTGTTTAGTGTCCTAGAAGTTTATTTTGATTTTAATGGTTTTCCACAATAAATATTATAAACTATAAATACATGTAGCTTTTAAAAAAGATGTTTACAATCATGTTTATCTAAATAAACATGTACATAAAGTACATAAAGATATGGATTTACTAAGAAATTCACATTCAAAACTATAATCCCTGTTCTTATTAACCATTTGATTTGAATATGGAACACTCACAAAATTAAAAATTTACTGAAACATGAATTATATTTTACAGTTGAACAAGAAAATGGCATTGTCACCAGGCAATTTCACAATGAAACATACCATTAGACTTGCCAACAAGCTCAAACGGAAGCGTCTGATGCAGAGTTTACCCACCACAAAGAAACGTCGATTGGAATTAAAAGCTGCCAGGTTGTCTAAAGAAGCAGCGAGGAATGTACTAGAAGGTAGTGCTTCAGTTAAAACAGAATTGAATGTAATGTTTTACTTTGATTTATTGTGTATTTTTCACACCTTTAGAGAAGCCATTGCTAGTGGAATTTCAGTATTATTTACTTGAATTTTGTTTGTAACAGGTCAATCATATAAGTCAGATATTGGTCTTGAGGAGGATGTTGATCTTGATGACATTGATCCAGAGCCTCTTAGGATTTCTCCAGAGAGCAGCTGCTTGATGTATTTTGATTTAGAAACTACTGGACTTAGTAAGATTTTTTTTTAGTTTACCTTTTCCCTACTAACAAATATAAATATTCTTTTATTTTCGAGTTTGGTATAAAATATAATTAATAATTTTGCTTTCAGGTAGAACATCTGACATCATACAGATTGCTGCAGTTTGTGAAGATAGGTCAATCAATGTTTATCTCAACCCCAGTGTACCAATCTGTAAAGAAGCATCGGCTGCAACAGGTCTCAGATATGACATGGGACAGCTCACTCTTCATGGAGAGCCTGTGCCTTCAACAGATCAAGTCAGTGGTTTGACCCAGTTTGTAGACTTTACAACAGATTGTGCTTCAAAACCAGTCATTGTGGGCCATAATATTCAAAACTTTGATCTTCCAATTCTTCAATATCACTTGCAGCGACATGGTCTACTTAAACGATTTGATGAAAATGTTTTAGGTTTTTTGGATACATACAAACTTGCACAGAAAGTGTTTGACAAGAAAACAGTGGGAAATTTTAAACAAGAAACATTGGTCAGATTGTGTTTAGGGAAAAGTTACGATGCACACAATGCTCTAGCTGATGTTTGTAGTTTACGAGAACTGTACGAGTCAAATTTAGCATTCAAATGTGAATCTTCAGATATATTTAATATGAATTATTATAATGTCAAGTCCTCACTAATTCCATTGATACAAAGCAAAGTAATTTCTACACTGATCTCTAAAAGGCTTACAGCTAACAATCTAAGCTTAAACAAGCTAAAACTCATACATAAGCGTGACCCCCATTGTGGGATTCAGACTGTCTTTAGTGAGGTTGTGTCTGGTTCAAAGACACCAAGAATTACGAAGTCTCAGAAGATCATTGGCAAAGTTGTGGAGTATTTGAACTCTTGTTAGTTCACATCATAAGTATTTTCATTCAACAAAATTATTTGTTTATGAGCTATACTTGCTAGAATCTACATGTATGTTTGTTACACTACATTTATTCTCTTTATATGTATTAGATTATAAATTGTTAAGAATGTGTACTTGTATGTAAAAAAAAATTGTGAAAAAAGGAAGGGGTTGCCCCCCCCCCCCCCCCCACCACCACCACCCTACCCCTTATGTTCTAAGTGTCTAGAAGGACCAAAATTTCAGTATTTTTTAATATTCCATTTGTATTTCATTCTAAGACTGTATTTGTTTGTTACATTTTGATATTTTTTACAGTGTGTAAAATATAACTGTAAAACATGCTATTACCAAAGTGGGGGTAGGGGTATTCGAGATATGATTTAATAAAATATCTCTGGTTTACTGTGATAAAATATGTTTTTTTGTTAACCTTAGATATAATTTTAGATATTTTTAAAGAAAAAATGGCATGTTAACAATATAAATTTTGGGACTTTTGAAAATAATGATATTTTGTGATTTTTTTTTTCTGATGGATTTGAGTAGTATAAATGTTAAATGTGCATGTTTTCAATTGAATATCTCGAAAAATTCTCTTTGTAGTTAATTATCTATTAGATTTAATGAATTATAGCACAATACAGTGTGCTTTGGTGCATATTTGAATAAAATATGAAATTATACATCTTTGTGTTAGAATTTGGCTGTTGAAGTTGGGGGTATATGTGCTCTATAGCACATAGTATGAAAATAAGCGTGCAAAGGTATGTGTAATATGGGTTTTTTTGTTGGCTCAAGAGTTGTTTAAGATATTTAAATGAAAAAATAAATTGTTTGACAGAAAATTCTGATAGTATTTACCTACCTTAATTAGTGGTATGTAGATTTTTTCTGGATTGGAGGAATGAAACTTGTATAATGACTTGAAAAAAAGTTATTGTGTGAATCAAATACGTCTCTTAGAACTAGGAAATAAACTGTGTCGACTTTATAGTAGTTTCTTTGTTTTTTTTTTCTGTGTACTTGGGTTAAATGTTAAAGTCATATATGGCGTATTTTTTAAAAGTTCAGACGAACTAAAATTAAAAAGACCTTTCTATTTGTTTTATTACTTTATATAAAGATAGGACTCTCCTGTAAATTACACACTTTAAATCAATCACGTTTTAAAGATATTAGAAATTTAAAACAATAACCGATTTATTTACCGACTCAGCATTTAAATAACAGCCACTTTAAAGTCAATATAACTACAGAAACATGAGGTTATTCAAGTTCAAAATCGGTTGAAATTTTAATTTGATAAATAACATATATCATGTTTATCTACACTCAAACTCGTATTTTTATTTTTTCGCTCAGATACGCCATATATAGCTTTAAATGTCACTTTTACTGACATTTATGAAGTCTTTGCAAAAAAACTTAAAATCCTGATTAGTATGCTCAAACTAAAGGCACTCAGTGAGTGTGCACTCCTGCAAATTCGACTCCTAAAAACCCTTACATAGGAGAAAAAACATGAAAAAATCAAAATGTCCACTGTCTGGCTTCAGCGACGATGAAGGACATGAAAATTCTATTATGAATAGAAATAACAACTTACTCAAGTCGTGAACAGAAACTCTGTGAAAAAAATAACATGTGGTCACTATTATTTTTTGCACCTATCCATATATACTATTAACTTTGTGTTTCAGTTCTATGCACTGTTGACGTAAAACGTTTTTCACTGTTTATGACAGAAACAATTTCTATATTATAGAATAAAAAAAATTATCTGTCTTGGGTACTCTTTTTTCTAAATAAATAATTTTGATCCTTTCATTATTAGTCGCCAAATACTCTGAATATCAAGATAATTCAGAATAAATTCTGGTTTAAAGTTTTACAAAGGCGTTAATTGAAAACAACTACAATTTATCAAAAAATGAATAAAGCTTTTTTCATTAATTGAGATCATTTCTTTCTCAGTAAAATACATCTCCATATTGCATTCAATATTAAAAGATCCCGATCTGTAAGTTGTGTTTAATTCCCAAATTAAATCAATAATAAAGGGTCTGGAATTGAATTTCTTAAAAGCTTTTTAGTCGCCTTCTAATCAGGCCCAAAGGTTCGATTCACTTTGTTTTTAAAACCCAAAACTAGAAACAACATAAAATACGATTCAAGATTTTTTAGAAATAAATATTGAGCTCATCTTAAAAAAAAAAAAGACTATGTCACAGTATGTGGATAAAAAATAAATTTACAGTCAATCATCGTTATCTTTTATATTTAACAAAACCGAGGATATGACGTAAATCCAAGCTAAAATAATGGCTTTAAACACAAGCATGAGCTAAGGAAATATATTCGTTCTTAGGTGTTTGATACACTAGTCACATTACCTGTTTTGTCCTGTATCTCTTTTTAACGTTTTTGGTTGCTGTTCCTTGCTAATACATGATGAATGTTGCACTTCCATTATTTTCAATTTTCGGTGTTTAACTGATTATCATTCCATGAGAACATGGAGCATCCATTTTTGCCATATCGATGAAAGGGCGATCTATCTCATTCTAAAGGGCGATCTATCTTATTCTAAAGTGATTCATACAAATAGATTTTTATAGTTCACGTTTTAATTAATATATACATGAAGTACAAGAAATAGAAAGTTAAGTAACATTATTTCGTACAAACGCCCTGTAAACAAATCAACAAACAAAAAGGTCAGAAACAGTAAAATCCTTTATTAAATTAATACACTATTAAATAATGGCATAAAAAATGAAAAATTAAACAAGAACCATGTAAAGCAATCATTTCAGAAAGCTTTAAAAATACAACCCATTTAATACATTTGATTGCAATCAAGATATTGCGATTTTGGAAGACGCTACCTTCAAACTTGATATAAATGCGCACAGTTACATGTATGGTCCTTTCAATATTACATCATGGAATGATGAATAGTGCAGTTTCTGCTAGACACATGCTGTGCAATGATACATAGAAAAAGCATATGATAATACGACATGTACACAATAAATATATTACAAAAATAACACGTATTTATCTAAAATATACTCTTAGAAACGTAAGAATGTTTTAAAAAGTTATTATATTGTTTTATTTTGTGGTAAAACGCATATTACATCAAATAACCGCTAGGTGATATATCATCCTGTGTGGTTTTTTATTTTTAATTGTTCGTCGAAGAGTATCTTCAATTTGCTCTTTTTCGAAACCTTTATTTAATTAAAATATCTGAGCGAAGCCGTTATTAAATTCTACCTTATTTTGATTTCTAATTAGTTTCGTTTTCCATATACTGAATTTACTGAATAGCGGGAGTCGGAGGAAAAACAAGGCAAATGAAGTATTTCAATGTTTCTGTGGAATGTTACAGATTTGGAAAAAAAAAGTTTTGCATTAAAAAAAAAAAATTAAAATGTTAGAGTCAGACAATTCAATATTCACCATTTCTTTACTGACTGTGCTTTATCTAAATAAAATGTTATTAACAGTTACTCTGTCTCATACAAAAGCCTTCCTATTTAAATGCCCATTTTTTAAGCCTACTAGTATTCGAGAAATTCGCCTTGGGTTTACCTCAGCTAAAATGTACTACTGAACTGTGAGATGGAAATAAGATATATAAATTTACAGCATATATGTAGACTTAAGAACTGAAATCATCTACATTGTTGTACATGTATGATTTATGTATTCGATGACAGTACTAGCACGGAACACAACAATAGAAGCTGGTGTAGAAATCTCCATTTCTTCCTATCATTTCTTTTGGTCCAGTAAAGGTTTCTTCTCCTCTCTGGAAAAAGACCCCGAAATCAGTCATCAATAACACATTCTTCTTCAGAAATATTAATTTGGTACATGTATCTAGGTCGTTTTTCATTATACATACCCCGTTCCGAATTTCCCATGTTTCCCGTCCTTCTTTTTATCCGCACCTGATTATAATGAATTATATTTAAACATCTTTTCACTTATCTTTTGCAATATGTCAAATGGTGTATTATGTCTCTTTTAATAGTAATGTTTCTTTCAAAATGTATGTTTTATTTTGACACATTGTATCATCTAGCTGCCCTAACATTCTCTGTATCATCTAACGTTTTCTGCTCTACTTGCTTGTGTGCTATATGTGTGCTGAAACGGTGCATGGGAATAAAGGTCCTACATGTGTGTTGTGCGGGACGAGATAAGCATATTTTAAAATGGATATACCCAAATCAAATAAGGAATTATTTAATAGAAAATTTAGTCTGATTAAAACATTGCTCCTTGAAGAGGAAATTAATTATAATATTAAACAAAACTCAGTTTTGGATTTTTCTGTTATTTGTACAAAAAGTCTTTCACAATCCTTTTTTCGGGGTGGGGGTGGGGTTCGTGTGATGTGTTTTCAACAATGACCTGAGCGTATAAGATACTTATCTTTAACAATAGATAATAGATAGGCAATGTTAAAAGACGTAATATTCGATAAGTTCTTCTGGCGTGAGATGGATAGGATTTTCTTAAATGTGGTAACTAATTGTGTCCATGTTCAACATATTTACCACTGAATTTACGCTGTAGATATCAAAAACGATATTTGACTTTAGTTAACAAACACGAAAGGCAAAAAAATTTTATTAACTTCTCTTTAAAGGTTTTTTATCTATTTGAAATTTGTAACCCAGCTGGGGTTGAAATCATGAAAATTGCATAGTTGCACTGTATGTAGATTTTAAAAAAATGAAACAATCTTTAAATGAACATAACATTGAGGCACTTGAACAAAATGGTGATTCTTCATGGTATCTCTGATAAACGTTACGATTTTTTTAAAATCATTGTCATGCAAGTTGTCATGTTAATTAAATTGCATGAAACTGCTGAATGATTTATTGCTGAAGGTCTTTGGGGATTTTGACCTAACATATTTATTACCGTGTTAGATTGTAAAATATGAAAAATAAAACAAAAGAAAAAAGTAAGATATAACGATTTCTTTCAGTTCAAAATATGAGGTTACATTGAATCAATAACAATGAATACCTGATGACTTCCTCATTTCGCGAACACGGTCCTTCACTGAAACAGGAAATAAAACAAGTGTCAAACATTCAGATGGCTGTTTTTGTGGTATTATAATTTTCGGATTAAATCTGATTTTCTACCGACCTTGGGATAAAGCTTTCTTTCCATCTGAAAGAATAACAGGAAATATTTTCTCAGTTACAAGTCAAAATTAGTCTATAATTTCTAATTTATAGACTGTGTCAAACATTAGAGATCTTTGTTTAATTTTGATTATAAATATTTGTTTTGCTCTACTTACGGAGGACAGACTTAATAAGAGCTGAACATAATTATCACACGTATAGTCACCTTTTGTGAAGTTTCTGATTTCTATGTCTTTCTGATTTGCTTCCTTGATGTGTTTTTTGCCTAAATTGAAAAAGGAGAACGTGTAACACATGAATTGTCAGATAAACAGTGCAAAAAAGAACTTATTACACATGAATTGTCAGCTCAGTTAAGTAATCATATCTGCATCAAAAATAATATCTTCAAACATTCAAATAAGAGGTTTATTCCTCGCAATACTTGAGAGTATTACTAGTTGACGTAATTTTCCATGAGGTCTGATGTTTTAAATTTCCAGTTCTTAGAAAGAAATTTACTTAAGATAAAAATTAAAAAAAAAATACAGTTTAGTGTTAAGTATTTTTATTGAAATATACACACGATTTCTATGTAAAAAGTACAAAATGCCACTTTCTTAAGAATGGCCACTTACACAAATCCCATTGAGAAGAGCGGTTTAGTTTAGTGAGACGATTAGAATTTTGTTCCATTCAACTCAAGATGTACTTACATGTACATTAATAGCTGTATATATACAGTATAATATCCCAAATAATAAGATTATATCAGAATATAAATAATTTATCTTATCTTTAAACAGAAAATTACCTTCATTCAGAACTTTGATTGTTTCTGGAAGAAAAAAAATAAATAATAAAATCATGGTCTGTGACTATAAATTATAGTTTTTCAATTGCCTTTAATTGAATTCTCTTCTTTCATACCTTACAGCATAAATAAACATGACAGATATTTTTAACTTTGGTTAACCGTTCACTTTCTGTGTTTTTGATTTGACTTTTTATGCTATTCTTTTTCATTTCTTTCTAAGATATGTTAATTAGAGACAAATACACCCCAAGCAGAATGACACTTAATTTTGTGATGCTTGTCTGTCACACACTAGTCACTACCCGTTAACTGTCTGTTCCATACTTATCAAGTACTTTTTAACAGTCTTTCCAGTACTAATCATGTACCTGTCCATAAACAGTCTGTCCAGTATTAGTCACATACCTGTAAACAGTCTGCCCTGCACTTGTCATATACCTGTAAACAGTGTCTCCAGTACTAGTCACAAACCTGTAAACAATATGACCAGCACTAGTCATATACCTGTAGTGTTGCTAGTCTAAACCATTAGTAGTCACATACCTGTAAATAGTCTGTCAATAACTAGTCACATTCCTGTTAACAATGTGACCAGTGTGTCCAGTACTAATCATATACCTATAAACAGTCTGTCCAGTACTAGTCATGTACCTGTAAACAGTGTGTCCAGTACTTGTCATGTACCTGTAAACAGTGTGTCCAGTACTAGTCATGTACCTGTAAACATTGTGTCCAGTACTAGCCATGTACCTGTAAACAGTGTGTCCAGTACTTGTCATGTACCTGTAAACAATCTGTCCAGTACTAGTCATGTACCTGTAAACAGTCTGTCCAGTGCTAGTCATGTACCTGTAAACAGTGTGTCCAGTACTAGTAATGTACCTGTAAACAGTCTGTCCAGTACTAGTCATGTACCTGTAAACAGTCTGTCCAGTACTAGTCATGTACCTGTAAACAGTCTGTCCAGTAATACATGTAGTCATGTAACTGTAAACAGTCTGCCCACTACTACCCATGTACCTGTAAACAGTCTGTCCTCAGAAGTCATGTACTGTAAACAGTCTGTTCTGCACTAGTCAAAAACCTATAAACAACCTGTCCAGTACTTGTCACAATGTATCTGTAAATGTTCTGTCCAGTATTAGTCATGTATCTGTAAACAGTGTGTCCAGTACTAGTCATGTACCTGTAAACTGTCTGTCCAGTACTAGTCATGTACCTGTAAACTGTCTGTCCAGTACTAATCATGTACCTGTAAACTGTCTGTCCAGTACTAGTCATGTACCTGTAAACAGTGTGTCCAGTACTAGTCATGTACCTGTAAACTGTCTGTCCAGTACTAGTCATGTACCTGTAGAAAGTGTGTCCAGTACTAGTCACATACCTGTAAACATTGCATCCAGTACTAGTGTATTAGTCATGTACTAGTCATGTACCTGTAAATTGTCTGTCCAGTACTAGTCATGTAACTGTAAACAGTGTGTCCAGTACTTGTCATGTACCTGTAAACATTGTGTCCAGTACTAGTCATGTACCTGTAAACATTGTGTCCAGTACTTGTCATGTACCTGTAAACAGTATGTCCAGTACTTGTCATGTACCTGTAAACTGTCTGTCCAGTACTAGTCATGTACCTGTAAACTGTCTGTCCAGTACTAGTAATGTACCTGTAAACAGTGTGTCCACTACTTGTCATGTACCTGTAAGTCTGTCTAGTATTAGTCATGTACCTGTTAGTCTGTCCAGTATTAGTCATGTACCTGTAAATAGTGTGTCCAGTATTAGTCATGTACCTGTAAACAGCTTGTCCAGGGCAGTAATTCTGTTCCTGTATTGTTGCACAACTGTCCCATACTTGTCACATACCTGTAAAAAGTCTGTTTTGTTTCTCCCTAACACTTTCGATTCTCCTGACCTTTGACTCGTCTTCTTCTTCGTCTGGTTTGTCTTTGGGATCCTTAGCCACTGTATACCAAGAATATACACCATGTAAATTAAAAGATATATAATAGTGTATACTTAGAGAAGCTTGCTCTATTAAGTGTATAAATACAAAAGTATAATCAATGAATTTGTCTCACCTCTCTTGTTGACTTCTTCAAAAAGTTCATCTTTCAGGTTTTTAGGTTCATTTTCTTCATCTATTCCCTCGTCTGTTTTCAATTATTAACATTATATAATTAGCATTGGAAAAAAGTCTCTTTTTTCAATAATGATGCATTTATGCTGAAACTAATTAACATTCTTACCTATTAGCTTTAAAACTGAGCTTGCTGGAATTGAAAAACAAAAACTGTTTCATTCGTAAATATTAAGTAAGATATGTGGACATACATGTATCTGAATAAAATACTTATGTACATTGTATACATGTATATTGCAGTACTACTATAATATAAATATGGTTATATATCTTACCATGCCACATCAGGCTCTTGAATTCTAAATAAGAAAAAAAAAGAGTTGTATCAACAATTAGAGCAGATGAGAACAGCAATTTATTGGATAAGAAATAAGAACTTATTAATTTGTCTTTTACATGTTTAAAATTGTTATTATGAACTCTGCATAGTGTACATATATAAAAAAAGTGTACATGACAGTGTAATTGAAACATTTTTGTAACTTTGATTGTGCTGTTTTATTAAGTATATATCTACATGTTACGTACTGTACATTGTTGACAAATAATCCATTGTGTGGTTTTACTCTAATTCAGCATTAGCTACCTACTTCACATTCTTTTGTAAGTGGAGGAAAAATAGAGTGAAGAATTCAGAATATTGTCAGATCTCAATGTTGCATACCTTTTACGGAAAGTGCAAGGTTTTTCTCAAGACTTTTAATCTCTCTCAGTTGTTCTTTAGCTGAAAAAAGACAATTAATTCAGACACGTAACCTCCACTTTATTTAGGTGAAGTGTGTATATAAATAGATAATATATATATAGTGTGTATATGAAAACAGAATTCATTCTTTTTATAATTGTTAATATTTTACTGCACCATTATTTGATTACCTCCATTCAGGACGGACTCTGCCTCTGTAAATTAAAAAAAAAAACTTAGTCTTAATAAAAGATTCATATATTCGTATTACTTATCAAAGGCTGTGTTCATTGAACCTACTGAAACCACTTCTGATGTACCGATTTACAGAATATAATATGAACCTATACCTCCCAACCCAAACATTAGAAATTAAAAGCAATGACAAAGGTCTTGATAACATCAAGAAAATAATTAAATTTTCCATTATCTATTTACAGAAAGATGTGATGTTTTATGTGTTGTTTACGAATTATTGAGTAGGTTAGTCGATCAGACAGATTACCCCTGGGGACCTGAGTGTTCTATCTACCTCTGTCTGTGGAAGCAGTGCTAAGTAGTGCCATCTCAAACCTACTGCTGGGCTTGTCTGTCTTTTTGTCTGTCTTTTTGCCTGTTTCCGCTATGAATAAAATTATATATATATATATATATAGAGAGAGAGAGAGAGAGAGAGAGAGAGAGAGAGGTTAAATAAAAACATTTTGGTCTTCCAGAGTTGAAGCCAAAACGTAATCAGTTTTATTTTCCGCTGATCTATTTATTATTGACAATAAGCCGCATTCAGGAACATTGAAGATCTGTATTATTAATGAAGAAGCCTCCTTACCATCTGAGACTTTGTCTCCCCCTGTCTGATGACAAAAACGGAGGTAGAGGATAATAACAACGATAATGATGATTGTACACAGAACCGTAACCACCGTTGGAACGATGAGGGGCAGTAGGTCGGGTGGAGACATTTCTGGGGTGGGAGCAGTTTCAGTCATCGGTGAAGTATCTTGACTTGCTATTTTAAATTGCTTTCAATTAATAATCATTGTAGAATAAAGCTACAATTATTAGTGGTTTTATTCTTAAAAAGCATTTTTATCTATTTTTGAATGAATTCGCGTGCGTTACACGTACTTGACATGTGACTCTGGAGTTAAGTGTATAACTTTTCATTTAATTTCAAATTAAAATAATTCGACTTTAGCAACTTTATACAGCCTTGTATTTTTCTATTATTGACGTTAACAAAAAGAAAAAAATCCCTCCTTTTCCCCGCATTGATTGCTCTGAATGTATGTACATGCATGTATAATGTATGCTACTTTGTGTGCATTATTACATTTTAAATAATTTAAGTGCGCTTATAATTTATTTTTAAAGAATTGTTTTCAGTTGATTTATTTCCTTTAGTTCAAAACGAAACTACTTTGACTGAATTTTATGCTACTGCTAAACCATTTGTTCAACTGAATTGAAGCGAAACTACATAGGTATATATAACTAGTATATATATGACAGCTGTAATATAAACAAACTGCAATCATAGTACTTCTAAATAATACTTACCACAAAATCCCAGACATAACCAAACAAACAACATACACCATTCCATGTTTGATGCCATTAAAGGCGTTGTTAATCTTTCCTTGTAGATAGCTACCTGTTCATGTGCACAAACGAAACTGTCGTGAAAACCCTTTTTCACCTTTCAGTATTTGTATTAGTGCTATTATTAGAATCTGGAACGTACCTTTGATACATGCTTTTAATAGATCATTGGTATTTCCCATACGTAGACAAAAGCATAATTTATCAGAAAATAGCAAAATCAAGCATGTTTTTTACATCATAAACCTACATGTATAATATACACCTAGAATAACGCCTATTCAAATTCAATTTATTAGAAAAATCCCATTAATAAAAGCAAATATTACACGTGTGGACATGAAAATCTATACCATTTAATTTTTGAATTGATACTTTATCTGATTTATTTCTATTAGGATATGTACATTGTAAGTATTGCTCTGCAAAGTCATAGATGCACAGCAAGATCGGTGTGAGGACTGAAAAAAAATTAAATAATCAAAGAAAAACTGTGGCTAAAATATTGAGTGTTTTGATTCTTTGATTCACAGATCTTCATTGCTTTTAACTTGAATAAATGTGTATTTTACACCGATATACTGTATGTATATATTTGTATGCCCGAACTCTGAATCAGTCATAGACGTATTTTACAGCTCTCCGGGCAACCCCATCCCTGAATATATACATGTAAAGTGAGTTGACTTTGATCGACCCATAAAACAAAAGCACAGGAAATTCCTTTATATAATTATATTTGTTTTGGAGGTTATCTTTTTTTTAGAATATTAGAAAACATTTGGAATGAAAGATTTTTATCAGCAACTTAAGTATTTCACTGTCCATGCGTGGATCTGGGGTGGGGGTGGGGGAGAGGGTCCCCCTGAATTTTGCAGAGTTATAAAATGTATATACTAAAGTAACTAAAAGTGCCCCCCCCCCCAAAAAAAAAACGCGGATCCTGTTCAGTTGGTAGGAAAAAGCTTGCTTAATAGATTTTTCACGTCTTGGAAAGGAGGTGAACGGTTTTTTTTTCTGGGTTGAATATATATATTTTTTTACTTGGGTGGAACACCCCCCCCCCCCCCCCCCCCGGAAAAAATTCCTGGATCCGCGCCTGCTGTCTTCCAACCAAAATAAGGACTTAAACTTTATTACTGCATGCATTGTTCTGAATGAGGCGTCCACTTCTATAAAGAATTTACTGCACGCATGGCTATACACTCAGTGTACCACGGCTGACACCAATGGACCCCATCCCACCCCACCCGCCTTCTTTGGGCGTCCACACGAAATGAACTCTGTTGACACTTGGCGAGTACAAAAAACTTTATATGTGACTTACAGAAAAGATTGTAAGGGTTTAAGGATTTTTTTTGATTTTTTGAATTGCTATATTTCAAAACTTGTAGGAAAAAGTGTACAAAGAAGTTAAAAATTGCCCAATTCCGCTGTCTGCAAGTTATAGTTATAAATATATATAAATACGTAATTAAGACATAAATATGCCCCCCCCCATAGAGAGAGAGAGAGAGAGAGAGAGAGAGAGAGAGAGAGAGAGAGAGAGAGATTCTGAAGAAGTACTTTCGCTATATGTTGTGGAATCCCTATAAAAACAATTTTAAAAAGTATCCGCTCCTATTTCGCCGATTGTTGAGCCCACGGGAAAAAAGGGGGAGTATGAGAGTAAGTCTACTCCTTTTTCCTCCTCGTCCCACGTTATGATCCTGAACAATTTATTCTTAATAAATGAGTTTGATTAGTGGTCTAGCTCAATGTGGTTGTTATTGAAGAGCACTCACATTACTAATTTGTTGAAATTTTCCATGTATTCCATCTTTATAGCTTCATTGTCATGAAATTAACACAAAAAATTAAACTCCTTTAAATGTAAGCAGGGACCTATAGTATATATGTAAGCAATTTATATCGTTAAATTGGTTGGAAATTAGGGGAAAACTCCACAACGACAACAACAACAAAAACGAAGAAAATACAAAAATAAATAAAACACAAATTAAAAAAAAAACAAAAACCAAAAGCAAAACAAACAACCCCAAATAAACAAATAAATGAATAAATAAATAAAAAAATATATTTTTAATCGAAAATGCGGATATTACTTGTTTACTGTGAATGGTTTTAAACTTATTGTTTGTTGTAGCTGCCGATAGAGGTCACTGTCTCAATGTTTACAATAATTTGGAACATGTTTCAACTTATTTTAATTTTCTAATGTATTGAAGTATTAGATCTGCACTGTAAAAGGTTTGCTATATTTTAATATCTTCTTTTAAATTAGTGATACTGTAAAAATACTGTATATTAGATGGATATTAGGTAATTTTTAGTGCACCGCCGCTTCCATGAAACAAGTGGAGACGAGTTCACGGTGATACAGGCCACGGTAGCCAAATTACCATCTAGATGTACACACGTTTTGTTTATTCGTATATGTCTACTGGTGTCCACTAGCTTGGTTGTTTAGTCGAATGTTTTAAGATATCAATTCTGCTAATAACCAGGTCCGCACATCTTCAATAAATATTAACTTTTATAGCTAAGTTATTCAAAATAGCTTGTTTAAGCTATTTAATTAAATGCATTTTTTTTTTTTAATTTTTTTTTGGGGGGGGGGGGGTGGTGGCAGACTTTACTTTATCGGTCCCATGATCTGCATGCTCATTGAACTATGATGTAAGATTAAAGCAGGGACGTATGTACTAACATCAGTATATACATCCCTGATTAAAGCCACTCCACTATTAAGGGTTAAGTCTTGCATTTGCAGAGTTTTCCCTAAGAACCAGCTACCTGCCAGATTGACCACTTCAATTGATAAAAATGCCACTTGAAAATCAAAAATTTAAAAAAAATAATTGCATGTTGCAAGGTCCACAGAGATTTGTCATAAACCTCAACCCAAAGCCTGTTACAATTAGCCCCTTCATGGTAACTGCGGTACTACTCTTTTGAAGGGCAAAATAATAATGTTTGGAGAAGTTTTTGTTGAGAGATAATTAAATGACCTACATTTAACAATTACTTTTACGTCATATTTCACCAAACTATATCATTTTGCCCTGCAAAAGAGCAGTACCGCAGTTACCGTGAAACGGTCTATTGATATCTAACCCTTTACTTTGAAATAAAGGGAAAACACTGCATTCATATTGTATGTTGAATATTCATCTTCTCTTAAAAAAAAAGAGAAAAAAAATTACGAAATTTACCTAAACTGCATGATGATATTCATGTTAAATTAATTTTAGCAAGTACATGATTATGTAATAACTTAAAAAAAACCACTGACAGACTATTTTTCTTTCTTTCAGAAAATGGGACCAAAAGAAAGACTTAGCCAAGAAGACATAAGTAAGCAAACCTCCAAATTCTGTATGGCATATCAAATTTACAAAAAAGTGACTCTCCCTTTCCAATTTTTTTTCTTTTTTAAATCTGGGGTCGACACACCTTTTTCCTATTTTTGTATTCTACTATGCACCACCTGATATCGATAATGTAACCCTTTTGTCTCAGTAAGCTGTTTTTGAATTTATTATGTAGCTAATAAATAGTCTGTAATAAAAAAACTACTAAAAGTCTAGAGAATTTAAGCATTCAAAATCTTGGCGTTTTATTGAACGCTGAGTTTGTATTATGAATATGAGTATGCCCGAAACATTCCGAATACGAGTGTTCAATATCGAACGCCCCGTTGTAAACCAAAAAAATGTCGTCTGGTCAACCTCTCAAAGGCAAATTTATGATAGGTAGTGGCACTTAGGTAAGGTGTGTTTATTTTCACGCGAAACTGAAATAATTAATTAATAATTTAATATGTATTAGCCTCAATAAAAGCATATCATAATGCTTGATAGGGTCATTGGAATGATGCGATATTGAAAACTTACAGGACAGATGTTAATTTAAATACCGATACTGAAAATTCTTATTAATTTGAGTTATTTAGTTGAAATAATTAAAATAAATGAATGGTAGATGTTTTAGCTATATAATAAAGGAGTTATTGAACTTATATTGGTGAATATTGGCACTCGTTGGCTGTACAAATGGACTCGCAAGCTCGTGCATTTATACAGCCAACTCGTGCCAATATTCACCAATATAAGTTCAATAAACCTATAATATCGTTTTTGACTGATACATAAAAAGCTCCCTTTTTATGTATCAGTTTTATTCTTGCATTCAGGGACTGATAACCTTTAGCATCCATAAACTAGAATTTATACAGATCATAGATATTTCTTCATGGGGGAGGAAAACTATAGTTAAGAAATCATTGAATTAAACATATTTTATTGACCAAATTGTTAACAACAGTTTATAAACAGTTAACTATAGTTTACAGTTGTATATAACCTTATTCATGAAATACAAAATCTAGGTTTTGAGCATTTTTGTGAATTTTGTACACCATACTGTTGGGTTCTATTGAAAATGTAACACAGTTAATGTTTATTGTAACAGAAATTGTACGTCAGGCGAATCTTCTCTTAGAACAACTGAATGCAGGCAGCAGTCTGAGCTGTGTGGAGGACATTAATGCAGCTGTTTATGTCACTTTGTTTGAAGGTCTCTGTGGGGAGAAGTTACAGGGTGAGTTAAACGGAAATCAGAAATTTACAGACATCCAGAACTCAAATATTGAAAGACCATTTTTAATGCTGAATTCATGATGAAAATAACACAGCTGTATTTTCAATTGCAAATTATATTTTATTCCAGTTTTCTTCAGAACATTAACCATTTTAAAGAAGTGAGAGATATTGTTGAAAGAAAATTAAGATTAGTAAAATAACTTCTAAAAAGTATGTTCTGTTTTGATTATCAGTAAGTACATTTCCAAGAAGTCATCATTCTCAGTGATTAGTACACTTGAGCTGAATGAGGAGTGTTTTGTATAGACATTGTGGTATTTAGCTGTACCTGTTGTTTTAGGTGTCAGTAGACATTGTGGTATTTCGCTGTACCTGTTGTTTTAGGTGTCAGTAGACATTGTGGTATTTAGCTGTACCTGTTGTTTTAGGTGTCATACAGAAGCCAGTCAGTAGAGAAGATGAGATTCAAAATGTACAGTTGGTAATAGATATTTTATCTCGAGATATTCTTCACACATCACTTGCTCACATCACGGGACGGGATGCTATTGATGGAAATCGAGAGTCCATCCTTAACCTGCTCGAGATATTTGGGGGACTTCTAGAGTACATTTTAAACAAAATAGAAAGTGATGTTTCAACAGATGGTAAGTTTGTCAGTGCCATAGAAAATTACTTCAGTGATAACACATTTTGTACTATGAAGTTAAATATTTGTAAGATGTAGCATTAAATACTATTGAATGTTTCTAATACATCTATTTGATAAAGAGTTTTGAAGTCTTTGTTTTACTCTTCAGGGGAAGGTGATCCAGATGAACTGGATGAAGATCCGGATGCTGTACAGCCAGAAGTGATTGACAAAATCTTAGAACGGGAGCTCCAGCGGAACTACAGTCTAGAGGGAAGTCCAGAACGACTCACCCCGAAAGGTAGTCCAGCCAGAAGATCTCCTATCAAATCCCCAAAGTCTGAGCTAAGGAGGAAAGCTCTGTTAAGTCCCTCCAAACCTTCAAAAATCAGGTATGTGCAAAAATTATTTGAAATGTACATTATATTAATTATAATATAAATATAATTTATATAATATTATTTTATCTAATATCATTATATATTATTTTATTATTATATTATATTATTATAATATTATTTTATTTATAATATTATTTTATATAATATTAATTTATATAATCATATTTATAAATTAATTTATTTAATGATTACTGGTAATTTGAATTGTAAATTTTTACAATGGAAGAAAATGAGAATTTTAAGTATAAAATTGTGAAAAAAACCTATTTGCAATTTTGCATGGTTAACATTATAGCAGAATATTAATTTTAATTTTTTGAATGTAACAGTGGTCCTTCTCTAAAGAAAACTTTGAGTGAAACAGAGGACTTGATCGCTGCAGTAAATGACACTTCAACTGGGTGCAAAGAAACCACAGTCAGCACAGATCAAAGTAAGAACAACAAAACATTAACAGATAAGTTAGAGTATAGATTTGATAGTATAACCTCAGCTGGGAGAAGTAAAAAATTTACATGTGGATGTGCTACCTCACTATCTCTATAAAAGTTAAATGTGTACCTACAAGCTCCCGAAAACAGCAGAGAGCTTTAAAGAGGCATGCTTAAACACACCAGAATGTTATAAGTTTCTGTTTATATCTGAAATGTTCACAGAAGTTTTTTTTTTTTTTGCAAGTGTTTATATTTGGGACTGTTTATATCTGTCATTTATATTTATATGTGCATAGTGTTGGCAATTATCTTTAAAATAATCATACATAGCAATATGCTTCCACAACCAATTTGAATTTGTTGTTTATTTTTTGCAATGCCTTTAAATTTATAGATTCTACAAATGAACTTATTAAAGAGGGAGAGAATCTAGAAAAAGATCTACTGTCAGATAGGTACCGACCAGGCAAAACAGCAGCACAAATAGTAAGTAAAAACAGCAGCACAGATAGTAAGTCAAAACAGCAGCACAGATAGTAAGTCAAACAGCAGCACAGATAGTAAGTCAAAACAGCAGCACAGTTAGTAAGTCAAAACAGCAGCACAGATAGTAAGTCAAAACAGCAGCACAAATAGTAAGTCAAAACAGTAGCACAGATAGTAAGTCAAACAGCAGCACAGATAGTAAGTCAAAACAGCAGCACAGATAATAAGTCAAAACAGCAGCACAGATAGTAAGTCAAAACAGCAGCACAGATAGTAAGTCAAAACAGCAGCACAGATAGTAAGTCAAACAGCAGCACAGATAGTAAGTCAAAACAGCAGCACAGATAATAAGTCAAAACAGCAGCACAAATAGTAAGTCAAAACAGCAGCACAAATAGTAAGTCAAAACAGCAGCACAAATAGTAAGTCAAAACAGCAGCACACATAGTAAGTCCTCACAGGGCAAACTAGTAGCACAGACAGTAAGTCTTTACAGGGCAAAACAGCAGCACAGATAATGAGTCAAAACAGCAGCACAGATAGTACAGTAAGTCTTCAAATGGCAAAACACAGCTTCACGGGACCAAATGTAGCAAAGATATTGAGCCATCGTAGGGCAAATCTGTAAAATTCATACACACATAATCCTTTTTTTTCTGGAGATTAAGCAACTCTTTTTTGTCTTATCTGCATAACATCCTATGGTACAAGTATGTCATTAGACACACAGACATCAGAACTGTCAGTAATTGATTAAAATTAATTCTGGATGTTCAGTATTCTAGATATGAAGTTGTTGGTAAATGTATATAGTGTTTACAATTCATTTTCAGAGAGAAGACCTAGCCAGACATAGAAGAGATCTTGGACTTCCAAAGGATCCATTTTCAGACCTTGTACCAGTGACTGAAATAGATGGTACAGTACAGCAAGACCCATTTATTTCAAATATTTATACAGCAAATACCTATCTGTAGTAAAGTTGCTGTCAATAACTACAAAAACAATATGTACAATAGTCATAATATCTGATATAATGAAGCAATTTGGCCTTCTTTAGTGATTGACTATAACCATGTTTTAATACTTATACTGCCAATTTCCTTTTTTCACTTCCTTACATCAGTACTGATGTAAATAAAGGCAATGAAGTAATAAAATTTTATTTCCACTCAATTTTTTGTGAATCTTTAGATTTCATTTTTATTTTTTTTTTATATTGTCTATAGACAAAAAGCAGAGCAACATGAAGACAAGCAACAGTAAAGATACAGAGTCTTATGAGAACTTACGTAACCTGGTGGAAGAAACTGCAGCCATGGCAGAAGAAGCCCTTTATTGTAGTCCAAATCAGGCAAGAACTATCTTACGAAGCATGGAGAATGATTATAACACAGGGAAGCTCACCAGGTAATTATAGCCAAACTCAGAAAACTCAGATTTTGTACTACTTAATCTTACATTCAGGGATAAAATATTCGTATCTGTACTGACTGACAAAAATAATTACTTTTCTAGAGTAACGGGGAACAGAATGAGAAAATAATGCATGTTCCTTTAGGAGTGTCAAAAGTTAAGCTGTATGGATAAGATTATTACGTTCTGTGGACAGTTAACTTTCTCCCTCTATTATACATGCTCATGTTTTTGAAAAAAAATAGATTACTTAAAAAAAGGGGGGGGGGGGGGGAAGAACATGGAGATTCAAAATTAACCTTTAGAGGTTGATAAATTGTTTTAGCTCATCCCAATAAAGTTGAGATGCCTTATGCTATACTCCCAGCATTCACTTTGGTGTCCTGGTTAAAAAATTAACAAGAAGTTCATTCCCAAGTACAATATAAGCCCTGCTTTAACCAAACTTGCAGGTCTAGGGATGCACATTAACAGACATGCTTCAGATGCTGTGTCTGACCTGCATTTTTGGGGTGATTGAACAGGCTTTAGTTCCTAGAGCAGGTCCATTTGCAAGTAACATTAAACATTATGGGGACTAAATTTGCATAGATGATGCATCTAAGGATGCAAACTAGCATACTTGATTTGAATGCTGGATCTTACCTACATTTTCTTGAGGAGTGACCAGGTTAAAATTTTTGGAGCAGGCCCATTCCCAGATAGCTATAAGCCCTTCCTGGACCAATTTTGAATGAATGATGCATCTAGAGACGCACAATACAGGCATGCTTAAGATGCTTAATCTAACCACGTTTTTTCTGGATGAGTGACCAGATTAAAGTGTTTGGAGCATGTTCATTCCCAAGTTACTGTAAACGTATTTATTTAAGCAGTTATCATATTTTAGCAAATTTTGTGCTGCCAATTTATGTACATGCTAATGATTTAAAACTAATACATTTCGTTAAAAAAACTCTTGTGTGCTAATTTAAGATTGCACATATCATTTGAAGAGGATGATTGTGCATAATTTTACCACAGGTAAATGCACTAATTCATGTACCTTTACAGTAGCTATAATTGATGACTTAACTTGCATGGATGATGCATACATTTTCCTGATGAGAGATCAGGTTTAAGTTTTTTGAGCAGGTTCATTCCCAAGTACAGTAAATATAAATCTGACCCAGACCAAACTTTCATAATTGTTGTATCCAGGGATGCACATTACCAGATCATTTGATTTGTGTGAGAGCTTGTCTTACCTAGAGATAGCATTAGTCATGGTGAACTTTGTTATCTTTTATTACATATGTTTTATTAATGGTTTCACAGAACATATCCCAGTCCAAAGAAAGACCAATACGGAAGTCCACCCAGAAAAACAAAGAGTCCAACTCGGGTATCAGAGGATGAATTCTTCTCTGATTCAGAGGTATTAATTGAAAACAAATTCATTTCAAGTAAATATGAACACTGCACATTTATTCATTTAGTGATAAGCCAGTGTAAGGACTTTTTGTGCAAGCATTGATTAATCATTAATAAGTGTACATTGGGAAAGCTAATGGTTGTTTTTCTTAAGTGTTTTAGATTTCAAAAGCCATCATTGGAAACCCACAGTCGGTCTTGCTTCTCTTACCTAAGAGATAAGAGAAGCGAGACCAACAGTGGGTTTCCGATGATGTTGAAAAGAATGATATTTTGAGTGTAGAATATAATTTATATGTATGTAGTCAGTGCAAAAAAAGTTTTAATGGGATAAAAATACATAACAGAATAAATCATGATTAAAGTTACCGTGTTTGTGGAGTAGGAATATTACCTACAGTTGACATCATTTCAAAGTAAGTGTTTGATCCCTGTTTACAGCTGACACCGAGCCGTGCCAAGAGGAAGGTATCTTTTATGGTGGAGAGGTCCACAACCTCAGACTCAAGCCCCAGCTTCTTAAGGACTGCCCCCAGGTACTCACTGCTAATGAAAAACGAAAATATACAGTATGCTTGTTCTCATGTGTAAATATGTTCAAGGTTAAAAATGAATCCTGTAAAATTTTTGGTTAGCTTAGTTGACATTCAGCAAGAGTATATTTTTACAATAGAAAAGCAGAAATTTTAATGAAGGAGTCATTATAGAACTAGAATAATATTATCAGTAAGCATTGATATATGTATGTTGTAAAAGAGTAAAAAAAAAAAAAATTAAAAATGTTGATTTCTAAGAAGCTTCATAAAGTTTCATGAACCTTCTCTGATACAGATATAAACCTAAAACTAAGTCAGCCTGGACCGAGAAAAAGGAGGGATCAAAGAAACCCACTCGTCCTCGTCAGGACAATACTCAAAGGAGGGGCATTTCAGGGGACAGCAGTCTCTTTGACTTTGAGAAAAACCCTGCCAACTTTTCCTACGATGACTACTTAAAGAAGCAGTATGTAAACTTTGAGACATTTTGCCAAATTTCATGTTCTATGGAAAAAAATTATAATACTGTGAGATCACTTTACTTTGTGGGGGTCAAAGTTCATGGGCAACCAAAATTTTATTCATTCAGGTGTAATTTTGTTTGATAACTCATATACAGAAAATTCAGTGAACCAATACATTGAAAAAATCATCGTTCATGGGGATGTAAATTCATTGGTAAAGGTGATCCATGAAATCTATGAACATTGGTCCTTCCAAAACAATGGTAATTCCACAGAAGGTTATGGTTTGGAACAATTTCTTCAATATCAACTTATTTGCAATTAAGTGTTCAAGTGCTGTCAACTGCTTTTAATTTTTTCATTGTAAATGTGCTATAATTTGGTAAATACAATCTTCAGTCATTTAGATTAGAATGACAAAACAGGAACTGATGGTCAATTTTTCAGGTTCCATGAAATAATTGATGATGTTCTGAGTGAAGATGAGGCCATGCCAGCAAGATTTAGGTCACGGAACGATCAGCAAAAAATTCATTCAAGCAGACTTGGCAGTAAATCAAAGGGGAATTACTCCATCTCCGATACACAGCGACTGTTGAACAAGGAAAAAGATGTCAACAAACGAAAAGTAGATGTGAGTGTAATCCATATTGATAAATGATAAATAGATTGATGTAAATATATTTGTATATGATTGTAAAACTACAAAGTACTGGGTGACAGTGGTTGTTCAAAGTGTACATGGTATTTTATATATTATATACATACAAGTACATAATCAGCCTTATGTCATTTGTTTACTCTGGATCTTTGAACTAATGCTTTGCTGTATTGGTAGATTACCAAAGTATAATACAACCATAATTAATGTGTGTTACAGTTTCTACAAAGGATATACAGGGAAGATTTAGATGAACTTCAAAATGAAGCAGAATATGGATTAAGTAAAGACAGAAAGGATGCTAAACAAGTGGTGAGTGACATTTAGTTGGTAGTCAAAAAACTTTGATTAATTTAAAGTTGGTAGTCAAGAAATGTGGTGAGTGATTTTGAGTTGGTAGTCAAAAAATGTGAATGATTTTGAGTTGGTAGTCAAAAAATGTGAATGATTTTGAGTTGGTAGTCAAGAAATGTGATTAGTGATTTAATTATGCTGAGTGTGTAATCAGGAAATGTGAATAGCATGAGAAATTTTAACTAAGTATACTGTATATATACATGTACTTATTTTTGAGTGAGTCATATTTTGGGACCTTTGGCTTGATCTTCTATATGTTAATCTCGAATACATTCATAATATTTTATTTGACACAATGCATACTGTAGAAATATTGATAGTACTAATAGATGATAATGCAAGATAATCCCTGACCTAAATTTACATTGTTAAATACATTGAAATAAATGCATGAACAGTAATTTAGTTATTTGGTAACCTGCATTTGTTTTTTTCTTGAAAAAACATTGCCCTGTTTAGATCCTGTATGTTGTGTATTACAGGAAGATGTATACAAGAAGAAAGTGTTGACAGGTCCCAAAGCAAGTGTTAAACCAAAGGAACCTGGTAAGTGGGATTTAAACTGTTCTCATTAGAAATCACTTAATTGAATTCACTCTAAGATTGTTTTTTATTTAAAAAAAAAACCCATATAGGTTAGAGTACATTTATGACTTTTAGGAATGAAGAAGAAAATGCCTGTTCACAAGCCCAGTGTGTGTAGTAAAGCTAAACGAAAATCTCCTAGTGGTACAACAGCTTTACCAAAACAGAAAAGTGAGTGTTAACAAAGCAAAGTCTCATAATGCAATTAACAGTCACATATACTGTAGACATACTTTTTTCTGCATGGGATTAATTTACACTTTGTGCGTGGTCACAATTTTTCCACAGAAATTTGTCACAGGGTACTTAAAATGCATCAAGGACATGTAATGACAATCAAAGAAATGTGCATAATTTTCTATCTGCGCATTAAACAGAAATTGTTATTCCAAGAATTATGACCCTGTGGAAAACATTATGTTTACAGTATAAGCTATTTAATACTGTATTATTGAAAACTGTCAAACCTTGGTATCTCAAACTATGTGGCACTGACTGAAAAACTGATAAAGGAATTTCAGTATAACACAGTCAACATCCCTGTCATTCATTGTAAAGGTTAATGAAATTCAATTGTAATTTAGGGTTGTACATGTATCTCGGATATAACAAATAACGGATATAGTGAAGTAAATTCACAGGTCCCCAGAAATTTGCTATAACCAAGTTTTACTGTATTCTTCTCAGTGACCATTAAAGATGATGAGGACATATTACCCCTGCTGCTGAAGGAATTCCCCCATCTCCACCTGTCCCTCCACACCTGGCATGAACTCTGGAGAAAAGGCATACACCAGATAGAGCAGGTGACGCGGGCCAACCAGGAAGTCCGGCGCAAAAAAAGCAAAGCCAAGGCAGAGGTCAGTAATAACAGGCCACTATCAACCAGTTCTCCATTCCTACTGACAACAGAGGTCAGTAATAACAGGTCACTATCTTTCCACTGACAACAGAGGTCAGTAGTAACAGGTCACTATCTTTCCACTGACAACAGAGGTCAGTAATAACAGGTCACTATCTTCCCACTGACAACAGAGGTCAGTAATTACAGGTCACTATCTTCCCACCGACAACAGAGGTCAGTAATAACAGGTCACTATCTTCTCACTGACAACAGAGGTCAGTAATAACAGGTCACTATCTTCTCACTGACAACAGAGGTCAGTAATTACAGGTCACTATCTTCCCACTGACAACAGAGGTCAGTAGTAACAGGTCACTATCTTCCCACTGACAACAGAAGTCAGTAATAACAGGTCACTATCTTCCCACTGACAACAGAGGTCAGTAATAACAGGTCACTATCTTCCCACTGACAACAGAGGTCAGTAATAACAGGTCACTATCTTCCCACTGACAACAGAAGTCAGTAATAACAGGTCACTATCTTCCCACTGACAACAGAGGTCAGTAATAACAGGTCACTATCTTCCCACTGACAACAGAGGTCAGTAATAACAGGTCACTATCTTCTCACTGACAACAGAGGTCAGTAATAACAGGTCACTATCTTTCCACTGACAACAGAGGTCAGTAATAACAGGTCACTATCTTTCCACTGACAACAGAGGTTAGTAATAACAGGTCACTATCTTCTCACTGACAACAGAGGTCAGAAATAACAGGTCACTATCTTTCCACTGACAACAGAGGTCAGTAATAACAGGTCACTATCTTCCCACTGACAACAGAGGTCAGTAATAACAGGTCACTATCTTCCCACTGACAACAGAGGTCAGTAATAACAGGTCACTATCTGCCAACTCTCCATTCTTAATGAGAGGCATTCCAGAATTTGAGATTAATTTACAAAAACTCCTCATTTATTTTATACAGAATAGTTAAAAGAGTGTGTTTTTAAATTTGAAGATATTGGAGGGATTAGTGTATTATAAGTTTTTATTTTATGGACATACATGTAAACATATATTTTGGTGTATAAATATATTTATTGTAGGTCCACTAATCGTTTATCAAAACAAAAATGCAGTCTTTTATGAGAAGCATTATTGTCTCTACATTAATCTTAATATTTTGTTTTAGCTGGAAGAAGCAGAAAAACGACATGAAATCATGGTGAATATAATGAAGAAGGAATTGGAGCATGGTCAGCGTATGGTGAGTAATATACTTATTATGCAGTATACAGAGTATAGTATTTCATTATTTACTGTATTCAAATTCAAGGTTTGAATTTAGAAAATGTATATATAGAAAGTTGATAATGGTATTTGTAATATGGACACTACCAGCCAACGTTTCTCTGGAATTCCACACCATACGGTCTTTAGATTAACTTTTCTCTGGAATTCCATACCATTTGGTCTTTAGATTAACTTTTCTTTGGAATTCGATCCACACCATATTGTCTCTATGCATGTGGGTTAAGGCTAGGTATAGGTGTTCCTATGCAAATGAGCTAATAAAAACGCGTAAGAGGTAAATTTATGATTCAGAGAAAATTTTGATTTTTTTTTTCTTATGCATACTTACTACCTATGATATGTTATAGCCAGTACACATTATGATGTCAAATTATGATGTCACTGATCTTACCTACTGGATGTAATAATACACATCAACAATACAGCTTCGGGGCAAGGGATTACCCTGTTTATTTTTACATAAAAATTGTATAATGCTAAGAAGAATATTCTATAGATTACCCTTATTCAATTTAAAACTTAACACATAGAAATTATACAACTGAGATGTTAATATTTGTGCAGCAATACCAGCAAACTTTGGAATATTTTGCTTCTGAATATACCTTGTTTCAGTTAAATAAAATAGAGCATGCCCTTGTGCCAAAGCATTTTTGTTGATGTCCATTATAATCTTGTGTAGTAAAGAACAATGACGTCATAATATGACATCATAATGTGTACTGGCTATCTCATGTCATGCCGTCATGGGTACCAAGTTTGTTAGACAATAAGTTTTATCTTTCTCTGTATAAAAGATATAGTCCTTAGGCATCTTAATTAATTTATTTGCATAGAAATGCCTATACATAGCCTTAACTCACCTGCATAGATTAACTTTTCTTTGGAATTCCACACCGTATTGTCTTTAGATTAACTATTCTCTGGAATCCCACACCGTATTGTCTTTAAATTAACTTTTCTCTGGAATTCCACACCATATTGTCTTTAACTTATTGTGGATTATTGCTAAATTGTTTTCTTTTTACAGAAAGAAATTAAAGAAAGACAAAAGCAAACAGTGGCTGCCAAGAATCTGATTCAAGAGAAACGGGCTCAGTCAGCTCGATCTCGTAAATATTACGATGATTACCAGGTCAGAATGAGATCCAAGATGCTCAAAAGGCGAACTCGAGAAGAAATGGTAAGACAAAGTATTAAAATTTTTATCAATTGTTTAATTTTACAGAAATTTAGCATAAACTTATTGTTATCATTGTATTCTGCAGATCTTCCGTAAACTTTTTAAAGATGGATTGGATATCCAAAAGGACCGAGTGCGAGAGTTGAAGAAATATGCCCAGGAACAGCGCGATTCTCAGGCCAGTGCTCAAAGGAATGAGATTGAGTCCATGGAGAATTAGTATCCTTGTCAATTCAATAAACTGTATGATATCTTCATTGACTCTAGAATTAGAATCCAAGGTAATAGTATATTAAGATAGAATACAGTAAATTACATTTCACAATCACATTCCATTCACAAAAACTTTATATTTTGCAGAATTCTGAAAGATTGCCTAATGCTAATTTAAAGTTCTTGTGAATGATAATATAGTGTAACTGTTACTCATTATTTATCATAAGGGTAATATGCAAAAATTTATATATCGCACAATAAGTGCAATTCAATTATTTGGCAGAAATAGTCACATAAATAGATGTAAAGTATTAAAGTAGCTTTAAATTTACCAATACATTGTATTTGTATTTGGAAATATTGTGTGTCTTTGTCTTGTAGTTTTCATTAATATAGGTTTATCTAACATATAAGTTTGTTAAATATGGAGATTGTAAGCTTATCTTGCCTTGACCCCAACAAGTTATCGTGATCAGTTTGAAATGCTGGCAGAATCCATAACTAAAGAAAGAAAAGAGATTTTAATTAGAGAGAAAGCACAACAGAAGGTTTGTACTGAATAACACATACAAGATATAGGGGACTGAAGTTTACTCAATCAGACATTTAAATATGGAAAAAACTATTAACTGAAAACAATTCTCATTTGTGGTCAAAGTCTAAGGACAACAGTTCTTACTGAAGTGTTGACAGATTGACTATACCAAAACAGATCCTGGTTTATTATAATGAGAACTTATCTAGTTTATAATTTTTATGCTCTGCCATGAATATAGCTTGGGCTTATAGTGTTTGTCATGTCTGTCTTCCATCCTTTAATCCTTCCATCTGTCTGTCCAATCTTACTGTCATTCCATGTCCTCCCATCACACTTTGCAGTTACCGGGGGGGGGGGGGGGGGGGGGGGGGGGGGGGGGGGGGGTAGCTCAGTTTAAGACAAACTATTCAAGATACATGTATTTTTATCAAACTTCATATGCTGATAAATATTGATGAGAGCTGCTTAACTTCTTCAAAATTTTTTGAACTTGACCTTTCCTTGATCTTGACCTTACTTTTCAAAAAATTGTGTTAGCTCTGTTTCAAAGAAACTATTCAAGAAGTTTTTATCAAACCTTATATGCTGATACATATTGGTAAAAGCTATTCAAATTCATCAACTTTTTTTTACTCTGACCTTTCTTTTCAGAAATTGTGTTAAGCTCAGTTTCAAAGAAACTTTTCAAGATATTTCATCAAGCCTTTCATACTGATACATATTGGTTATAGCAATACAACTTCATCAACATTTTATGAGCTTGACCTTTCCTTTGACCTTGACCTTATTCTTATTAGTCCCCCTACTGGTGAAACCGGAGGGGACTATAGGTTTTTAAATTTGTGTTTAGCTCAGTTTCAAATAAAGTATTCAAGATACATGTATTTTTATCAAATCTCATATGTTTAGATATTTTTTATCAAACCTCATATGCTCAAACATGATGATGAGAGCTTTTCAATTGCATTAACATTTCTGACTTTGACTTCCAAGTTGAAGTTTTTGGAGCAGTTTTATTTCTAAGTACAGTATAACTATACCCCATATTGATCATAGTTGCAGTGCTGATGCATCTTGTATCTTTTATTACATACCATTGCTCATTATTCAGGTACTTGAACAGATGAAGAAGGAGTTGCGTAAGAAGATGGAATCTGAGATCCATTTATTACAGGATCAGTTTGTGAGAGATGACGATGACGCCTACTTCCGACAGCTTGACGCAGATCGTGTCATTCACAACTTACAGCTAGCCAAATATCACGTCAACGTGTAGTATAGGAACCTGGTGTAAAACACTGACTGTGATATCTTTCTGGGATCTTAATTCATTTTTGAAGAAACCCAATTTCTAATGTATTTTTTAAATAGAAAGTGAACTGTGAATGAAAAAAATGACTTTAAAGGTTTCTTTTCATTCAAAAAGCACTATACATGTACATGTATAATGTGATGTTAGTCCATGTATAAAAATCTGTATTTTTTCCGTTTTAAAACCAAAATAGAAATACTGAGTATTTCTGAACAGATATACAGGTACATGTATGTACACAATCATGTACAAGATTGTTCACTTGTCCATCATGATTACGGTACACAAACTATTTTATAGACTTGACTACATGTGTATGTACATATAAATATTAATTTAGTTCTATTTTGTAAATTTAAATTTTTAGCATTCATATGCATTTCCAAATGCTAGTACCATGATGTAGAAGTGTTTTAAATTATTAAATGATGACCCAACTACATACATGTGATATGTACTGGCTGTACACAAAATGTCACTTTTTTTTTACCCCATTCAAGGGCTCACAGCGGTACACCAAAATTCATGGGAAATGAAAATTTTGAATTGTTTATCCTAGAATGGCACTGTTAGTCCAACCATATTTAGACAATTAAGTAGTGCCAAGTTTTAATAATTCATCAAATGACCATCTATCTAATGAAAAATGATTTTTGGACATTGAGAAAATTTTATCCTACATTCTTTTGGCAGCTGGATGTTTTGAAGAATGTTCTGATGAAGAGGATGGTTGGAAAATTAATCTTTTAAAAAATATGGACCACTTACGGACCACTATATCAACACTTACTCTGTATCAAGGAAAAGTATGTTTAATGTGCTACAGAACAAGCACTGGGACTGATCCTCCTAAGGTCTAAAGGTCACAGCGCAGGGGTCACCGCCAAAAAGTATTCTTTTTAGGTTTTCTTACTCCAAGCTACCTCAAATCTGAGATGAGATAAACAAAGGCACAAGGTATGTCAGATACCATCTGACAACACATGACCATAAAATTCCAAAGCTAAAATATTCAAAACGAATTGCAATAAAATTCATTTATGACTACAATGCAAGGCCACAAAATGCACCAACTGGCAAGGTTTGATCCTGCTACTCCAAGGCCTTGTAGTATTTTTAATGAAGACTCAGGCTTCATAAAAACACACAACTAATGTTTATATAATTTGAAGTATACAACTCAAACATTCCACATTTTTGTCATTTATTAAATACTTATTTGTTTGCATTGTACATGAAGATCAATAATTTTCACACTGAATCAAACACAGACTCATAATTAATACAATATCATCATAAACCTGATGCTTATAGAGAACTGTTGACGTAATGCAATAAATAGATGACATTTAAGGATAGTACAATGAATAAGAGATTTATGATATGTTGATACTGAATGCATTATTATTAAGTAGCATTTAGATAAAACTGCTACCTAAACACACATTTGTAATACACGTGCAACTGATAGGATAAATTTGGTTCTTGGATTAACAGAGCTAGAGCGTAAATAACATATACCATTACTTCATCAAATTTGATTTTCTAATTTTGTTTTCTTTGGAGATATTTTAGATTCCTTACATGAAAATCAACATGTAACATTTCTACATTTTGTATAAAATTGGGTAAGTACTTGACATACAGATGGATACACATACACAAATCTTGACAAAAGTGCTATCTCCTTATATTGACTAGCACACAGAGATGAACACCCCTCCTGTCAATCAGAGATCAGTACAGGAAGCAGGCATTATATTAGCACCTTACATCTGGGAAAATATCTATGGTTTAATCACATGAGACGTTCATCTAGATAAATTAAAGTGGGGATGCAATAGGCCATATGATAACTTATGACAATCAAGAGCTATACATAGACTTTATGATCGTCATTATTTGACAAGCACCTGGAAAATCTTGATTAGAGTACCAGCATAAACATTGCCTTTACTTCAGATGGCAAATTTGATGCCCAACCAAAACAGAAAAAAACAACCGATGGAAAAGAATATAAAGATCATAAGTACAGATGATTAAATCTTTTTCACAGCCTTTCTTAAAACAACTATATAAAAATGTATATGAACACAAATGTTACAAGAGAAAACAGTGTATTGCACAGCCTACACAAGCACAGCTTTCTTTTATATTCCTCAAAAGTAAATTATCTAAATTTAATCATTCAAAATTCTTTTGTTTGTCAATTAAAAAAAAAGGCTTGTCAAAAAAATGACATACAAGCACCGTTCCTTTTATTTATCACTATTTTACCTTAAATTATAACTTAGTGATGTACACTGCACACAGTTCAGCTATCCTAGCAGTAGCTTGCAAGGTTAAGATATTTAATTAAAGTTTCTGTTCCTTTACAAAAGACTGGTTCTACAACTTAACTGAAAAAAAAAGTAATGAGCTCTTGAAATGTATATCAATGTTAAATATTTATATGATATTTATTAAGTAGTAATTGTGCATGCAATAGAAATTTTAGAAAATTGCATAGTAATAAATTAAACCAGTGCATCATGCAAATAATTTTCTAGAGTGATTGGCAAATCAGTAGAGCAGGCAACTCTTAATGAAAGTGTAAGGTCACACAACAATTCTACAGTGTACATCAAAACATGTCTACAAATACCCTATTTTATTTAGAAACAGGAATGATGTTTTCATGTATGCTACATCATATTTTTTTCTCTCAATTTGCATTTTCAATTTTAAGTTAGCTTAAAAGGAATCATTTTATCAAGAAAAATATAGCACTATGCACGTCATAATTTTTTCTACACGGTACAATAGCCCTTGATGTGCAACCCAATGTCATATTTATTCTAAGGCTATAATTTATTCCTGCCTGGAAAGATCCCTGTCACTCACAAACACAGCTCCTGGAGGGAACCCATGCTTGAGGATGAACTGCTTTGTTGAGTGACAGGAAATTTGGACACTTCAGGAAGCACTTGCATTTGTTGTCCATACATTCCATGAATTGGCAAGGACATGGTCTTAGTTTGTGTTGACATAGGAGATATAATAGACTGAAGATCACGCTCAAGGTCATCAAGGTCGCGACTCGACTCGTATTCCTGAGATTCAGCTTCATCTGACATATGACCCTCATTCATTGTCCACTCCTTATGGACATCAACCTGAAATACTGTTTGGGAGCTATGCAAACTTGTGCTACACATAGTGGGCATTGATCGACTCTTGACACGAACAGAAAAAAATTCACTGTCCTCATCATCATTTAAGTTATCATGTGCATTTTTTCTCTGTTCTCTCCCTTTGCAGGTGCAGTTATCACTATAATGGTCCACCTGCCCACATAAGATACAAGGAATTGTCTCAATGTCTGCAGAATAACGATTCTTCATTTTGAAAGAATCTGTTTGCCTGGACAATGTTTTAGGTGAAGAGAAAATTTGATCTTGTTCACTTGGCTGAGGAGAGGAGAAGTTTTGTCTGTGAACATCTACTTTAGTGTCCACCATTCGTGGATCATTTGGAGGTTCCCCCAATAAGGGCTCTAAGGATCTTTTCCTCACAGGACGTGATTTTGACTTGGTGGTAGGTGGAGGTAGAACTTCCATACTGTCCTCCACCCAATTTGGATTGCACTTGAAGAACTCTTTGGCAGATTCAATAGCAACCTGAAGCTCCAGCCCATTTTCTGAGCTTTCGTAATACTTATCAATCATGGATAGGTGCAAGTTACCAAACTTGCTACTGTCTGTGTTATTCATGCCATGTACATGACAGAAAAGTTTAGTGATATCCTTCATCAAGTGAAACTTTGTCCCCATTTCAATCTGGTGGGGTATATCACTACTATAAGAATAATCCATGTAGGCTACTATGAAGCGGGACATAGGTAGACCTTTCATTCTCTCCACTCTCATTTTCTCTGCTACATAGTCAACAGCCACTGCAAAATAATCTGGAATGGTGCGATAAGGATCACACTTAAATCGGACACGCTTCTTTGTGCACCTCAGTCTTGCTCCAACAGAACATAACACTATGATAAAATCAGCTTCCTGAAGCCTATCTACCAGCCAATCATCAAGCCCCCTCTCGTGGATGATCTGGTCCTCAAATATGTCGAGATGTACATTACAGTTACAGGTGTCAATGAGGAAGCCAGCCAAGGCAGACACAACCTTCTCATGAGCCACACAGTCGTAGGCATACAGCAGCAATATTGTTGGGATCTGTTTCTGGTCCAGATCTGTAAAATGCAACACATAACATCAGCATTTACTGTTCTAACGAAAAAAAGACAATTGAAAGGCAGATCTGAAGTTCTTTGAAGACTCTTACATCTACAAGATTACTGAGAGCCTCCAAACCAAATCATTTATGGTCTCGTAAGTGCTTTTCAAATATAACAAAAAGCATGATCTTCTGATATTCAAATAAATATTCAAGCAAATATTCATGATTTTTACTGCCAGATTAATTCTTGTCACAGTTTCACTCCTATTGTTAAGGACATACGCAACGTACTACCTTACCTACTGAAAATTTTTCAAGATATTCCTAATTTATGACTATGGTGCCATCAGATGTTCGTAGACAAAAAATCAGCATGCATTACCAGGGGTTTTGAAAAGATATCAATAGATGAAAATTCTTATATAATTCAAAGAAAAATATACAAAAATTACTAAACTTAAATTTGAGATGTTTTGTTTATCCAAACTTGGTTTAGAAGAAGTGTACAATGGCATATATAGACATTAAAATGTAGCACACAGTTCCTTTAAGTATTGAAACTCTTCAACTCCAGGGAAAAAGACAATACAGTTCAAACTACATTGCATATGTCCTTAATATAAAGAACTGTCACATATTTTTCTGCATAGGTTAGGTATTGATAAATTTTTAATAATTGAATTCTTGGCAACATATGTAATCTATGTAAATTTACTAGTAATAGAACTGCACTAACAAATAGAAAATACTACTTCAATACTTTAAAAAATTATTGCCTAATATGCAATACATAAATATATTATATATAAAGAGAACAGTATACATGTAGTCACCAGCTGTATTCCTTATTATTGATTTTAAAGCAGGGCTTCACAATCAATACACAGTTCAATGACAGTACATTCCTGCCTTTTAGACTCTCCCCTGTGGAGTCAACCTAATTAAAACACAGTTCAACATCATTCCTATCAAATTTTCTGAGTAATGTGAATCTCCACCATTATTTGCATCACAGCATTTCATGGAGATGGTGAAAACCCTTATTGGCTAATTGGCTGAAAGTTGGGAATTTGAAGGAACAAATCAGAGTAATGACTGCTTATGTAAGATCTGAGCAGTCAATGTCCAAGTGTCGGTGTCTTGGAAGGAAATTTATATACTGTAAAAGTGGAAACTTTGATGAAATTGACAAATTACAAATAATCATCAAAATTTCCACCCGTCAACTTTCACATTATTGTTTAAGATGTAGATCATATATGGTACCAATTCTGATGCACGAGATGTGCATTTCGACAAATTATGTCTCTTCAGTGATGCTCATGCCGAAACGTTTGGAATCAAAAATGTTTAATTTGAAAAATTTTGAAGAGCCTAAAATAGGAGGTGCCAAAGACTGGAGTCAAATACATTGAAGGATCAAAGCTATGCATAATGGAGATAATCCTTAATTTTGAAATAAATTTATAAATTTTACCACAGCAATTAAAACTATATCCATATTTTCAAGCTAGTACAAAAAAACTTAGCTACTGGGCTGTAGAGACCCTCGGGCACTAACAGTCCACCAGCAGAGGCCTCAACCCTCGTGGAAAACCCTCAAGGGGTTTTCCACTTGCCATATTTCTAATATACCGATATGGTCAAACATTCAACCCTTCAATATAACCATGTTTACAGTACTGTCATGTAGGAAGCCACAAAAACGAGAGTTTTAGATTCTAACCCTACATGAAATTTGTGTAAAGTATGGGGAAAATGGATGGATTTTTTCATTTTATAGTTTATTCTTCAAAAAAAAACTAATATCACATGCTTGCTCCAATTTAACACAATGATAATGTTAAGAGTATCCAGCTACTACAATAGTTTTCAATATAAATGTACCTTTACTTTAGCTCTGACAACAGGAATGAGGAAGCCTTAGGGGACTGTATGATTTTTTTTCAGATTACAGATACAAGTAAACACCATTAACCCAACATCATATTTTTCTATTTAATATTTTCTAAATTTGCCTACAGAAACACAGAAACACAAACGGTCTTCTTAGTCAATCTCCCTCTTGTATACTAACCAATAGAAATAGATCTTCCTACTTATATTGACCCGTAGAAATAGAACAACTTACATATACTGACCCAAAGAAATAGAACAACTTACATATACTGACCCAAAGAAATAGAACAACTAACAGAAATAGATCTTCCTACTTATACTGACCCATAGAAATAGGGCAACTTACTCATACTGACCCAAAGAAATAGATCTTCCTACTTATACTGACCCATAGAAATAGGACAACTTACTTATACTGACCCAAAGAAATAGATCTTCCTACGTATACTGACCCATAGAAATAGAGCTACTTACTTATACTGACCCATAGAAATAGAGCTACTTACTTATACTGACCAATAGAAATAGAGCTACTTACTTATACTGACCAATAGAAATAGAGCTACTTACTTATACTGACCCATAGAAATAGAGCTACCTACTTATACTGACCAATAGAAATAGAACTACTTACATATACTGACCCAATGAAATAGAGTACTTACTTATACTGGCTAATAGAAATAGAGCTACCTTCTTATACTGACCCATAGAAATAGAGCTACCTTCTTATACTGACCCACAGAAATAGAGACACTTTATACTTATACTGACCCATTGAATAGAACTACTTCTTATACTAACCAATTGAATAGAACTACTTGCTTATACAGACCCATAGAAATAGAGCTACTTACTTATACTGACCCATAGAAATAGACACACTTTATACTTATACTGACCCACAGAAATAGAGACACTTTATACTTATAATGACCCATAGAAATAGAGCTACTAGCTTATACTGACCAATAGAAATAGAGCTACTTACTTATACTCTCCCAAAGAAATAGAGACACTTTATACTTAAACTGACCAACAGAAATAGAGCTACTTACTTATACTGACCCACAGAAATAGAGCTACTTACTTATACTGACCAATAGAAATAGATCTTCCTACTTATACTGACCCATAGAAATAGAGCTACTTACTTATACTGACCCACAGAAATAGAGCTACTTACTTATACTGACCAATAGAAATAGATCTTCCTACTTATACTGACCCACAGAAATAGAGCTACTTACTTATACTGACCAATAGAAATAGAGCTACTTACTTATACTGACCCAAAGAAATAGAGTACTTACTTATTCTGACTAATAGAAATAGACTACTTACATATATTGACCTATAGAAATAGAGCTACTTAAAAGTCCTCTCTCTCTTATACTGACCTATAGAAATAGAGACACTTTATACTTATACTGACCCATTGAATAGAACTACTTCTTATACTAACCAATTGAATAGAACTACTTGCTTATACAGACCCATAGAAATAGAGCTACTTACTTATACTGACCCATAGAAATAGACACACTTTATACTTATACTGACCCACAGAAATAGAGACACTTTATACTTATAATGACCCATAGAAATAGAGCTACTAGCTTATACTGACCAATAGAAATAGAGCTACTTACTTATACTCTCCCAAAGAAATAGAGACACTTTATACTTAAACTGACCAACAGAAATAGAGCTACTTACTTATACTGACCCACAGAAATAGAGCTACTTACTTATACTGACCAATAGAAATAGATCTTCCTACTTATACTGACCCATAGAAATAGAGCTACTTACTTATACTGACCCACAGAAATAGAGCTACTTACTTATACTGACCAATAGAAATAGATCTTCCTACTTATACTGACCCACAGAAATAGAGCTACTTACTTATACTGACCAATAGAAATAGAGCTACTTACTTATACTGACCCAAAGAAATAGAGTACTTACTTATTCTGACTAATAGAAATAGACTACTTACATATATTGACCTATAGAAATAGAGCTACTTAAAAGTCCTCTCTCTCTTATACTGACCTATAGAAATAGAGCTACTTAATTCCTCTTCAGGATGATCTACAAAATAATACAGTGAATATTTAGTGGAATATACAAAAGATACAAAAATCATTAAAATAGATCACAAAAAACAGTATATCTACATCAAACAGAAATCAAACTTTTTTCATGAAGCTACAGAGTTTTGGTGTTTATGCAGTTTCTACTATAGGGAGATAATGAAATATTTACCTGGAGTGTGGCATCAGGAGTTTTGACATTAACATAATTTGTACAGTAGGAAGAATATGTTTGAGCTACATGTAGTATGGCATACTTGAGTTGTGGTGTTTATATTTTGTACATTAAAGAGATGATGATGTACAATAGGGAGATAATGATTTATTTACATGATATGTTCCGTGGTGAGTTGTGTTTATTTTCTGTACATTAGAGAGATGATGATGTACAATATGCAGATAATGTTTTATTTACATGATATGTTCCGTGGTGAGTTGTGGTGTTTATAGTTTGTACATTAGAGTGATGATGATGTACAATATGCAGATAATGTTTTATTTACATGATATGTTCCGTGGTGAGTTGTGGTGTTTATAGTTTGTACATTAGAGTGATGATGATGTACAATATGGAGATAATGTTTTATTTACATGATATGTTCCGTGGTGAGTTGTGGTGTTTATAGTTTGTACATTAGAGTGATAATGATGTACAGTAAAACCTGTTTAATCAGGACACCACTGGTTCCATAGAAATTGGCAGGGTTAAACAACATTGTAAATAACTGAATTTACTGAAAAGGACTTAAAGTTTACATCGTAATAGGCAAGATTTTGGAATACACAACATCCAGGTTAGACAAGTTTTCCTGTATTTACCTGGTGAAATGACGTGGTGAGTTGTGGTATTTTATACAGTTTCTACAGTAGGGAGATGCTGATGTAGTTACCTGCTGAATGCATGGTGTGTTGTGGACTTCATGGTTTATACAGTAGAGAGATGATAATGTATTTACCTGGAGTGTTGCGTCACATGTTTTCTTCTGCAGTTTTTATACCATTTGTACAGTAGGGAGATGATGATGAATTTACCTGGTGACCTGCATGGTGAATTGCGGCGTTTATACAGTTTGTACAGTAGGGAGATGATGATGTATTTACCTGGTGACCGGCGTGGTGAGTTACGACGTTTATACAGTTTGTACAGTAGGGAGATGATAATGATAAGACCTAGAAGTCCAACCACTCCACACACTGTCCCCAAGACAATCTGGAGGGACTGTTCATACTCAATATTGTCAGGCTGGTCCACAATCACACCTACAATAGAACTTCTTCCTCTTACTATACAATTATCATAAGTCTTCATAGCAATATATACACCATTCAACATACAAATTGAATTTCTAATGCATCATAATCAACATATACACCATACAGTGATGGCAGGGGTTATAACTGGGAAGAGAATGACCAAATAGTCTAGTTTTATAAGCATTCAGATTTGAAAGCCTTAATATACATGTATATATCTTACCTGAGCCTGGATTGGGTTTGACCTCATCTGGACCATTTCCTACAGAGGGGGTGGACATCGTGGGTCCTGTAATGAGATGGAATAATTAACACAAGTTTACATCATGTTCAACATTCCTTAACCTTTTTCATCATTATGCAACATTTAAGAAAGATTATTTTATGGCTTACAATAATTTTATGATGGTTGTCACTAAGCACCTATATCTCCTATATACTGTAACCATGATCATGAGACAATGTGTAAGGGGACTAATACATATTCAGCAGGACTGACAACTTTTATGGAATTAATTATCAGTAAATTTACTATTTATGAAAACTTGACGTCTGAGATTGAAAGATTTTAAGATACAACACTGTATATTAATGGATGTGGATAAACAGCCAGAGTCTATAATGAAAAAAGAATTCCTGAATTCTAAACCACAATAACCTACCTATAGAATTATAACTTAAGCCTTTTGTGTCATAATCAAAAGAAGATGAAATATTGGTTACCTTTAACGTCAGAAATGACAAGTATTTACTTAAATTTACAACTGATACATGAGCAAAATCAAGTTTGTATTGGACTACACATTCAGTGTTTAAACTTCTTAGCATTGATTTATCAAACTTTTTATGGCACTAAAACTGTTGCTATGCACATTTATTTGTCTCAGTACATTCATGCAATTTTATTGCCTCTTTTTACTCCTGTCTGACTGTTATTTGTTGGTAACCTTATATGTCAGTTTTACAATCCCCTCTCCTGACTTCATAACTCATATCCATGCCATAAAATCTACCCACGTCCAACTGCTAGAGGGGATCTCCCTCTACACAACAGACTGACTAGAACAAACCAATATGGTTAATGATCAGCAATTAAACATAATCTAATGGGATTTTATGAAGGTAAAAGGTTTGCTTTTTGTCTTAATTGGTAACTGAAACCTTTACAGACTACATGCATTGCTTTATAATGCCCTGAAAGTATGGACTTGCTTTAGGTATTTAGGAGATTCACAAATGACATCTTATCAAATATTGTCTAAAACAGGGTATATCTGAACATGCTAAAAAAAGATTTAAGCACTGCATAAACAGTATTCTATACACTATAGTCCTGGAGTGCTTTTCTTGTATGCCTTAATTAGATTGATAGAATTTTTTTTCTTTATTTCATATAATATATAATGAACAATTAAGACGGAGAATTTATACGTTTATGACACATGTACATACATAAATTTTGATTTTGAATCCCCAGACAATATTTCTGTGCTGCAGATCTAAGCACATTTATATGTATTAAAACTTGAGATAGATCAAACACATTCTTCTTCTCAGTATCCAAGACAATTACTTAACAGATTAATGGGCTTTCAAATCAAGACGCATTTAGTGTCAATTTCACACCTATTGATTTTTACATCGCTTACAGCTGACCTTTCTCCAGTAAATGATGGAGAAAGAATTTAAAAATCCAGGCAGAGGAGAAATCAATTAACAGAGGGCACAAATAATGGGAGAAAACCTCCTTTTTCTAGATATATAGCAGTTTACATTTAGCATATCTACAAAAGGTCAAGTAAATTCCATTAAAATTAGGATTTTTACCAACAAATCTTGCATGGTGATTATGAGAGCTGAGAATAAGTCTGAATTTGAAGCCCTAATAAGACAAAATGAATGGAGATTTTCTGGACCTTAATATTTACAGTACATCACTGTTACATGTAGGTGTATAAAAGTATTCAAATGGCACTCAATTTGTCTTAATTAATCAACATTATCATAGTGAAATTATGACTTCAAAACAATTGCAGAAAAAGGTGTTTAAAAGGGGGTGGGGGATGGGGGGTGGGGTGGAGATTGATTGTAATAAAACAATTTCTTCCTTATTTTTAAAAAATGATAATCACATAAGTGCATCATGCATATTACATATTATAAATATTGTATTACACAGCACAATCAGTACAATACATCTCAGATTCAATTAACATTTGGCCAAAAATAAAAATGTCAGCTCATAAATGTAAACAAGAAAAGAAGCTAGCTGCCTAAGTTGATAAAGTTGCTTTTAATTAACATATATAAATTAGCCCAATTTTTCTCATCAACTGATTAGCATAATGATAAATTAGTACATTTGTATTAAGTTTTTATATGTATTTGTTTTTATCATAATTACATATTAGCATGTACATAAATTAGTGGACTAAAAGCAGCCCGAATGGCACCAAAACATAACTGCTAAAATAAGTATATATCGCAGCTATGCTGCCCAAAGCATTAAATTGCATTCAAAAATATTACATTTTCAGATTGGTTTTGATTTTAGATATGTAGGCTTTGAATATAGATACAGATGTTTTGCACAAATTTCTCAACTACATAGTTACAAATTTGTTGTGATATATCACAATTTGGGTTGATCATGAGATGGTAAATTTTAATTTGTTCAAGTGTTGCACATAAATCGCTTCTGTGCAATGATTTACACAAATTTTATTATTTACATTTTGTTACATAAATTAACTTACTGTATCTTAATGTAACTGAAAAGTATTTGGGAGAATGAAGCTGTAATATTATTAGTGTATGAAATATTTCATGAGAATTTCAAATTACCCCCACATTTGAGTGTATTTTCCTCTCTTTATCCTAATTTATATCAAAGCGAAGATATTACATTTCCGTCCCAAGAAGACTGATTCAGAGAACATTCTCTCACGAATTTTCAAAAACTCCTTATAAAACACTTACAGAGTGCCAATCTCTTATAAACACCTGTAATAAATTCTATCTCTAACCACAGTCACTTAAAGTAGTACACAATAGGCCAAATTTTTCCTCAAATTCAATTTTGTTCAAACTTTGATATTTTGTTCTAGGATGCAAAATCTCTCTTTATATTAATATGAAAGAAATTCAATTATACATTTTTTGCCCACATAGCTTGAAATATGGCCTTTAAGACCCGGGCCCTGTAAGAAGATTATGAAATCAGACAGCTGACCTGAGATTGTGCATTATTTAAAAACAAGAAGTCTGTGAACCAATGCTCACTAGTAATACCCCCGCTTTGATGTGAATCTACACAAGTTAAGTCATGGACAGACACAAGGATGAACAAGAAGTTGACATCAGATTCATACAAAAATGAATCCCACCACATTGCATGCCTAAACAAAGAGTGTGCTAAAATTTCAAGCATCTGCAATCAGTAGTTGCTGAGAAAACTGCAACCAAAATTTGTTATGTATAGTACAGACAGATCAGAGCTCCAGATAAGGTGCGTATTTGCAGAAATACGCATTGAATTTTACAAAATACGCATTGAAAACAAGAAGTCTGTGAGCCAATGCTCACTAATAATACCCCAACTCTGATGTGAATACACAAGTTCGGTTATGGACAAACACAGTGATAATCAGGAAATTGAAATCGGATTTGTAAAAACTGAATCCCAACATATGGCATGCCTAAACAAAGATTGTGCTAAAATTTCAAGCATCTGCGATGAGTAGTTGCTGAGAAAACTACAACTAAAATTTCCTACGTATGGTACGGACAGACACATGGATAAACAGGAAGTTGACATCGGATTTGTTCCAAAAATGAATCCCATTATATGGCAAGGCTTAACAAAGATTGTGCTAAAATTTCAAGCATCTGCAATGAGTAGTTGCTGAGAAAACTACGACCAAAATTTGTTATGTATAATACAGACAGACGCACGGATAAACAGGAAGTTAACATCGGATTTGTACAAAAATGAATCCCACCATATGGCATGCCTAAAGAAAGATTGTGCTAAAATTTAAAGCACCTGTGATGAGTAGTTGCTGAGAAAATTGCGACCAAAGTTTGTTATGTGTGGTACGGACAGACGCACGGATAAACAGGAAGTTGACATCGGATTCGTACAAAAATAAATCCCACCATATGGCATGCCTAAAGAAAGATTGTGCTAAAATTTCAAGCATCTGCGATGAGTAGTTGCTGAGAAAATTGCGACCAAAGTTTGTTATGTGTGGTACGGACAGATGCACGGATAAACAGGAAGTTGACATCGGATTAGTACAAAAATGAATCCCACCATATGGCATGCCTAAAGAAAGATTGTGCTAAAATTTAAAGCACCTGTGATGAGTAGTTGCTGAGAAAATTGCGACCAAAGTTTGTTATGTGTGGTACGGACAGACGCACGGATAAACAGGAAGTTGACATCGGATTAGTACAAAAATGAATCCCACCATATGGCATGCCTAAAGAAAGATTGTGCTAAAATTTCAAGCATCTGCGATGAGTAGTTGCTGAGAAAACCACGACCAAAATTTTTTATGTATGGAACGGACAGACGCACGGATAAACAGGAAGTTGACATCGGATTCGTACAAAAATGAATCCCACCATATGGCATGCCTAAACAAAGATTGTGCTAAAATTTCAAGCATCTGCAATGAGTAGTTCCTGAGAAAACTGTGCCAAAATTTGTTACGGACAGACAGACAGACGGACGGACAGACAGACAGACAGACAGACACACAAGGGTAAAACAGTATACCCCCCTCTCCTTCGGAGCGGGGGTATAATTAAAACTGGGCGTAGTTACACATTAGCAATCGCAGATAAGCATTTCACCACGAAAGTACTGCGTTCTACGGGTTGAATAATAAAAGTACGACTTAGCTAACGATATGAATTGAGGTTAACTCAGTGTTTGATTTTTCTCAAAACAAAATACTGATTTAAAAGCGTTTTAGTAACCAGGAATATTCTAGTTATGGCGACGACGATTTCCATTTATGGAGAAATAATCAAAGATATAGATTTAAATCGATTTCTTTGAATAGTAAGACTATGTACTAGGCATAGTAACGTGTTTTTAAGCACACAAAAGCTTGTGTCGTCTACGTAAGATGATAGTGTAATACATACGTAAAGAAAACAATGTTACGTGTACCTAGAAAACAAACGGTAGTTCGAGGATAAAAGTCTTAGCTGGAGAATAAATTTTAAACTGCAATGTTATCGAAGAAGACATGATGTGTAAGAAAAAAAACCCTGTGA